ATCATTTTGTCCATTTTCTTTGTTAGTTTTTGTTTTTTCCATTTTTTCTTTAATTTGCTCTTTTATTTTCCCTATTCCTTTTGTCTTAGTTTTGGGTTGGCACATCGGAACGGTATGTGTTTGTCGGGTGGGCTGGTGCTGTAGTCCAGGTGGCTGACACCTAACACGTCGGGCCCAGGTGGTGAGCGTGCCCCTCCTCACGTAGACCCTCTGTGATGAGCGTGCACCTGTCTATAGGGACATGGAAGCAGGCAGTGAAGTCCTGACGTGAGTGGTCAGCTGAAGCCAGTCATTCAGCCCTTCCTCCATGCCCATGTGAGCGTTCAGAGCTGTCGACTCTTCCATGCAGCGCTTTTGCTGTGTCTTATGTGTTTTTATGTATTATATTATTTTTAGTTTCACTGGTGAATTCTTGTTTTATTGGTGGGTTATCTGGAAGGCTTTTGCCTAATCTTGAATATTTGGAGGGGGTTCCAGACATCTTTTTGTGTCTTTGATTTCTAGTTTAACCCTGTGGCCTGAGAATGTGCACTGTGTGTCTCACTCTGAATGGGGAGGCCTGTTCTGAGGCATGGGTGTCAGCCCCTGGGTTGGTGTGGGGGTTGTGTCTGCTGCAGTCTTGGTGGGTGGCTGTCTCCTGGGCCTGATATCTGGTCACTCGGAGAGGAGAGGAGTGTGAAGCCTCCCCTGGAGCCTGATTTGCTTCCTGCTTCAGTTCTGCCAGGTTTTGCTTTTTTTTAGTATTTTCAGTCTATTACTGGGTTCACTCATTTTAGTCTTTTTATTTTTATTTATTTATTTATTTTGGTACCAGGGATTGAACCCAGGGTGTTTTACCACTGAGCCACATCCCCAGCCCTTTTTTAAAATTTTGAGATAGGGCTTCACTAAGTTACTGAGCCTGGCTTTGAACATGCAATCCTCGTGCCCAGCTTCAAGAAATGTCCCTTTTATCACCAGTGATGTCTTTGTCCCAACAGTCTCCTTCGCGGCATGTCAGGTGGCCTTTTCCCTCTCCCTGGCTGGTCTCTTCCTGGATGTTCCTTGTGTGCCCGTAGCTGGCCTTGCCCTCTCACCTGAGGACGTGCTTCCTCGTGCAGTGTTCAGACCAGTCACATTGACCCTGATCAGTGCAGGCTTACTGTCCTGTCTGGCTTCTTTGTCTCGCCTTGGGCTGAGGAGCTGTACCATCGAGCTGCTTCCCAGGGCTTGCCGGGTTGCCTCCACCTTGTGCTCCCCTGCCTCAGCCTCCTGGGAAGCTGGGATGGCAGTGGCCCACAGGGCCTGGCTGGGCTGAGTATTTTCAGCACTCCGTGACACCTCCTGTGTTTCTTAGGTTGCTTCTTTGTGGCACTCTGCATTTTCAGATGGCCGTGGCTGCTGCAAGCACCATCTACTCCAGGACAGAGAAGGACGCTGTCCCTGGGGCTTTGGGGCTTCTGTCACCCTTCATTTCGCGGCAGCCCTGATTGGTCATGCAGTTCTGCTCTCAGCGCCAGTTACCTTTTAAAGCAGTTAGCATTGAGAATAAAAGTCTCCAATGTTTGCTTATGTATTTTTCAGTTTTTGTTCTTTTTTGTACTGACCAAAATTTTCAAACTGGTGGAGGGCCCCTTTACGCTCTTAATCCTTTAAGATTATTGTGGGCCTTAAAGAGCTTTTTAAGAAAAGTTCGATCTGTTAGTATTTTCCATATTAGGAATTTAAAAAAGAAAAAAATTTTAAATAATTTTAAGTCCTTAATTTTTTTAAATTTATTTTTTAATTGTGGTTGGACACAATACCTTTATTTCACTTATTTATTTTTATGTGGTGCTGAGAATCGAACCTAGGGTCTCGCATGTGCTAGGCAAGTGCTCTGTCGCTGAGCCCCAGCCTCAGCCCAGAAGATTTAAAACATTTAAAAATGGTAAACATAATTCATTTTATGTTAACATAAATGATGTTTTTTTAAAGTGAGAATAACTGTATTTTCCTAAGGAAAACATTTAAAAGTAGCGATATCTTGTATCTTCAGTATGTGGCTTGCTAGAAGACAACTGGGTTCTCCTATCCTCTTTTGCATTTAATTGATTATAATATGTTGTATTTCATTGAAGTTTATAAGGAGAACCTGGCTTCACATAGATGCTGCAACAGAGAAGAGGGTATTTCTGTTATCTTCTTGGACATGTGTGCACCTCTGCCTTCAATATCACACCAAAGCTTGACAGCAGCAGCTTCCCAAAGTTGAATCGTAATGGAGCCTTAGAAAGCCATCAGCCAAAAGGACGCACATGCACTGAGCTCACCATTTTAGGGTGTACAGTCGAGTGTGTGGCACGTTTAGAGGTGTGGGGCCAGCCCACTGTCTCAGCAGCGGAGCACCTCACACGCCTGGAGGGAGCCCTGCCTGTCAGCATCACTGCCCAGACCTGGCAGCCCCTGGCTGCTTCTGCCTGGGCATGTGTAGAAGGAATCATGCAGTGAGTGGTCTCTTGAGTCTGCCTTCTGCCCCGTTCCTGTTTCCAAGGCTCACCTGTGCTGTGGCACGTGCCATTTCCCACTGGCCACCTCTGAAGGTTCAGTTTCCCCATCCTTGCTAGCACTTGTTATTTTCTTTTCTTTAAAAATTTTTTTGTAGTTGTACACAATAATTTTATTTTAGTTATTTATTTATTTTTATGTGGTGCTGAGGATCGAACCCAGGGCCTTGCACATGCAAGGTGGGTGCTCTACCACTGTGCCATAACCACAGCCCCTTTTGTTTTTTAAATAGCTTTCCTAGAGGGCATGAGGCAGTCGCTCCTTGTAACTTTTGTAATTAATGACATGGGGCCTCTTTGAGTCCTTACGGGCCTCTGGTCTTCTGGTCTTTTGCAGCCTTCGGATCCTGGCCTAGTGGTGAGCTTTCTGCCCTGTTCAGCCCCAGTCTTTGTCTTCCTTGCACTCTTCCTTGGTCTTGGAACCAACTCATCCATGGTTTCGGAACACAGTGTCTGTCCTGTGGAGTGCTGTTTAACCCAAAGTAGATCTCCTAGATGTCACCTTTTGTGGGCACCATCTAGCTTTGGGTTGTAGAAACAAACATTCCAAAATTTTAGTTTTTGTTTGAGATTCGTTATTTTATCCAAGCAACAGACTCTGGCAGACGCTTTGATGACAGACATCCTCCATTCCACATCTAGCAGTTGGTGGCTTGACACCGTGTCTGACAGACTTGCAGGGCCTGGGTCACCAGGCACTATGATTGCCACATAGCAGAGGAGCCGTGGGCCTGTTCCCTATGTGGTCACATAGGATGTAAAGACATTACACTGAAGAGCGCATTGAGCTTCAGTAAACCCACCAGTGTTTACTGCTCCCAAGAGGATTGTAGGTAAAGTAGGGCAGTTAGTGAGGTAGAGTCCAGTGACAGCTCAGTGCCATTTCCCTGGTTGTGTGGAGGGCTGGCAGTTCTCCGCCTTGGTTCTGCACCATCAATGCCAATGTTGGCGCTGTGAGAAGGTTCAACTCATCCTGGCATTTGGTGGGTGTAGTTCTGACCTTGTGCAGACCCTGGACATGTTTGCCCCGCGTCAGCTGCCTGAGTGTCCGTGTTTCTGTGTCGCTTTCTCCCCCTATGCATAGGTCCTGTGGCACTCTTACTGGTGGTTCTCTCCTGTTCAGAGAGAACTGCTGTTGGATGTGGAATCCTAGGCCGGCATTCTTTCCCCAGGACGAGAGGTGGTTCCTGCTGCTGGAGTATACCTTGGTGTGGGTGAAACTGGGTGACCGTCCTTGCCCAGTTCTGCCTTTGGAAGGCAGTCTTCTGTTCACAGCTCCAGGCCCCAGGACAAGGATGGAGGCGCTGGCCTCTCATTCCCACCCTCCACCCGTCTGGCTCAGCTCCCAGGGCCCAGCTTGCCCATCACCCTTCTTGCTGAGCTCTCTTCTATCTCCTTTGCCCTGTGGGTTTCCAGCTTTTAAATTTCCCTGGTCTGTGTGGATTTGACAGGGTTCATAAATACAGGCAGATGTTTAATTTGCCAGATTTAGTCTCCTCCTCGGTGATTTTTTGTAAATAACAATTATATTTTCCTTTACATGACCATTTCTTCGGAATTTTGAAATTAATCTCCACTTTAAGTAGGAGGATATGCTTTTGTATTTGTTTCCTTTTTGCAGTACTGGGGATGTAACCCAGAGCTGCGCATGTGCTAGGCAAGTCTCTACCAAGAGCTATCCCCAGCCACCCCTGCCTTTTACTTCACTTTGAGATAGGGCCTGGCTAAGCCACCCAGGCTGGCCCGGAGCCTGTGAGCTCCTGCCCCATGCCTGGCTGCCTGGTACTTTGTACAGTGGTTCTCTTTTTCAAAGATTGAGCATTTAGCTCAGGTTTGTCTGTCTTGATTAGATATAGTCCTGTTTATAAGACTGAGATTTGTCTTTTTTCTGCTTTCTAATCCATGTTTTCTTTACATGTTATCGACTCTCCCTGTGTCCTTCCCTTGGCTCTCAGAGCAGCTTCTTTCTCATTGCTGTGGTTTGCAGGAGTAGCGTGTGCTCCGGTCTGGGGATGACATAGTCCTGCGCCTTCTGCTTACAGCTTGGACCACACCCCTAGCGTGGATGCACGTTTTTCCCTTCTCATCTCATCTGTGCAGTTGGGGGAGGAGAGAGTACGCATGTCTCTAGTTTTTAATGGTGTATAGCTCAGCTTTTAGTGTGAAATTTGCTGAGAGTTGTTTCCTGGTGGTTAGGGCAGGTGGGACCCATGCCCAGTCAGGCCAGCCTGTCCTGAGCACACCTGCTGAAGGTGTTGGCAGTGTGTGCTGAAGGACAGCCTTGCGCTGGCGCCAGGAGGCATGTGAGTCTCCTTGCCGAGGCTGGCTGACATTATTATCCATGGCCAGCCTTGGGTCACGTGAAACCCCTCCATCTCTGTGTCTGTGTCATGGGGCTCTCTGGGAGGGAAGATGGAGGTGCAGGTACCAGGAATGTAGAAGCCTCCTTCTTAACACATTCTTCTTCTACTTTAGGTAAATCTTAAAATGAGAGAAATAACAGAGAAGGAAGTTAAATTAAAACAGCAATTACTGGAAAGTCCAGCTCATCAAAAGGTAAAGAGCAAATTTAATATCTCTGGAATGCACTGTTATTGTTAATCCTAGTTTTAAAGAATTTGACCTGCAGCTACTACTTGCTTATTCTTGTAACTCACCAAAAATGAATCCAGCCTCTTGGATTCTCCCAGCAGCCTTGTTCTCAGTGCCTCGGTGAGGGCTGACCATGGGCGATTTGTCTCCCTTCCACCCATCCCTGGAAAGGGGTCGTGGTGCTTTGCCTGCAGGAGGGTGCAGGTGCACTGGGTGCGGGTGGGGGAGCTCTGAGTCAGGGGTGTAGGCTTACCTGGGAGTTAGCTTCTGAACATCAGCAAAGGAGGAGAGACTGCCCAGTGCCAGCGGTGCCTCTGTAGATCCCCGAGGTGGCCCCTGGGGTACAGTGGGACTGGTGGCTGTCTGGGAAGCCTGGTACCAGGTATCAGGTGGCAATGTGTGTTGAAGAATGGTGCAGATGGGCGTGTCACACAATCTGGGCATTAGTCTCTTACCCTGGCGTCATTTTCTCTTCTGCCAAGCACCTGTGTGGTGAGTCTGCCTCAGTTAGGTGTGTGAACGATGCCACCAGCCTGTGCCATCTCCCCCTGGAGAGCCAGGTCCTGCCTCCCCTCATGGCTTCCTCTCCCCACGACCAGCATTACACACTGGCTGCGGCCAGGCGCCTCCCTGGTCTGGCTTGTGGGCACCGTGCCTCCTTGGCCCTCAGATGTGTGCATGTGTGGACACTGACCAGGTGCTCCCCACTTGGAGTGGACTTCTTGCCTTGGTGCCCAGCCCTTCCCAAGTGCCAAGGCATTCTTTGCAAAGGTAGCAGGGTGTGTCACCTTCCCCTTGAACCGCCTGGGCGATGTGGTGTGCTGAGGTCCTGTCCAGCGGAAAGCTTTGACTCACTGAGGCTGTCCCACCTCTGCCGGGTGGGTGCCGTGTGAGCGCGCCTGCCGCCCGTGGACCTGCTCTGCTGACGCTCCTCTCACCTTCCTTCCTGCTTCCTGAGCAGTCTCCCTCCAAGTGGTATTGGAAGTTAGTGCCCGTAAGTGCCCCAGCCTCAGCTGCCACTGAGAGCATCCTGTTGCCATCACGCGCTTCCATAGAGCTGCTCGCACCCAGAACTGTTCTGTTTTTGTTTGTTTGTTGATTTAAATGTCCACGGGGGGTGGTTCCACTCTGTAGTGAGCAGGGTGGCAGTGTGGCACTTTGGAGCCCAGCTATGCTTCTCCCAGTCTCAGTGGCTTCTGTAGGTGGACAGTGTAGTGTGACTGACACAATGTGTCCCTTCCTGATAGACACAGAGGTGGATGATGGCCCACTGGCCGTGTTGCTTTTCATAGGTCACACGTCCTTCCGATGTTCCCTTGTCTGATGGGGCTCAAATGTGACACCCCTAGTGTGCCTGCGCTGGGTTGTCTGCTTGGGATGATGGCTCATTTGCAGGGTGCAGGTGGACAGCAGAGAGGGCTTTTCCAGTATTTCTGTTTCTCTGTTGTCCTCCTTGTGGCCTTCTCCCTGGGCCTTTGTGGAGTGGGCAGAGAGGTGTGCCTGTATTCCCAGGCAACGATCTGAGTTAGGTCAGCACAGACGCGGGCTCCTGGAGTTGGGTGACTTTTCACGTGAGAGGAAGAAGCCAGTCACCTTGTGGAGTAGGAGTCAATGATCCAGCTGTGGGCCGCCTGGTGGCCTACTCTGCAGAGGAGCCAACCTGCTGCCTGCCCTTGTCGGTGCTGTGGCACTGGGTGGAGCCTGCCCCTGAACTTCTGGACACACAGCTTTCTTAGTTGGCCTCTCTGAGCCCCTTCGGCTGCCTGTGTGCTATAGCTTCATTATTTGGCCCAGATTATCTTGGGCCTCCCTAAGTGGGGGACCTTGCTGCTCTCTGGATGTGTTAAAGAGGAGGGAGAGGAAATCACCCTATGGAGGCCTGCATCTCTCTCAGCCTGATCCAGAAGTGGTTTAGGCGTGGGCTCACATGGAGCTGTCCCACGGGGAGTGCCGCCTCCGATGAGTTTCGTGGAAACAGAAACACGTGACCAAGAGCAGTGACCCTGGAGGTTTTCCTTAGTGGAGGGCTTAGGACCATCCTCCCTGATGTTGGTGGGTGGCAGCAAGGAGAGGCTGGGTGAGGATGGGCAGGAGGAAGGTTTGCCTTAGTACGGGCAGCCTGAGGTTTGCAGAGCCGGGTCTGCACGGCTGCAGCGGGCAGACAGTGCCCCGCCCACTTTCACCCATGCCTCCATCTGTAATCGAGAATCCATCTGCTTTGCTGCATGCCGTGCCCACTGCGTGTGTGCTGCCTTGGAAGCCTGGCCTGGAGCATGCCATTGCACACTGCATGCTGGAACCCGCGGACTTTGCACGTGTGGTACAGTATGAGGCGGGTGCCTGTGGGAGCAAGTGCCGGGGGCTCCGAGAAACAAGTTAGAGTGTGTGCTGGTCGTTCCATGGACATAAAACAAGCCTTACCACTAAATTTAGAAGAACATCGGGAGCTTGGGACATTTTATGCTTGGGACAAGTACTGATTGATACTCTACACAATATACTTACCAAGATATCAACTCGAAATTTCTAGATTGCCGAGACAATTCTCCAAGTTGGACTCATCTGCAGAACTCTCAGAAATCCACAGTCCTTATTGTAGACAGCTGGGTTTCTTCCTCTAGTTCTCCCTCTGGAGAAAATGTGGCTGGAAATGCTGTGCATTAACGCTGCACTGGGCTGCCGACACAGGAGACATGAGTGCACTGCAGGCCCTTTTACTGACCAGCCATGCTCAGCAGATGGGGCATAGAGCCGAGGGACCCGCCTGCTATGGATACCTGGCACGTGGTTCCTCTGAGTGCAGAAGTGTGGGAGCCTTGACCAAGTGTTTGTTTTATGAACACCTTGCACGGATTTAGTTTCCTGATGCTTTGTTGTATTTCTTAGAGTGGCTGACGGTTGCATTATGAGAAATTTTGTCTAAACTGGTTTCTGAAATTTCTCTGACACTATAATAATGCTGTTTTGTGGTTTTTGTAATGACCACAGTTCACGCTGCTAACCTTAGGAAAGTGACGAGCTCGCTCTTCCAAGCATCAGGACATTCACCACTTAACTTGTTTCTCGTTGGTTTGTCGCTGTTGGCTCCTGGTAGTGTAGACGTGCCTCCTGCCTCTGTCCTGGTGTGCCTGGTGCAGCGGCAGTGTAGTTGGATTAGCCTTGGCAGTGCGAGCCGTCATCGTTGCTACCAAGCACAGTCCTGGGTGGAAACGTGGACAGGTGTCTGGTCGTATGGGGTCCGGATACTGGGCTCTCACGGGGAGTACCGCTGCTGTCCTGTCTCCAGTGCCCCGTGGGTCCTTGCTGCAGCAGCGTGCCTCCCGCGAAGACCCTTTTCCTTCTGTCAACTGCAGGTTCGCTATCGGCGAGAGCACCTCTCCGCTCGGCAGCTGCCCTGCTTCCCGTTGCTGGAGGACTTGATGCGAGATGGCAGTGACGGGGCTGCTCTCTTGGCGGTTGTCCACTACTACTGCCCAGAACAGATGAAGCTGGACGGTGAGTGGAGCACTTCCTACAGGCCGAGGTGTGCACCTTGACACCAGCTGCCGCTTGCAGGCAGGGCTCCGGGGAGAGATCACGTGTGGACAGTGTCTAGGGACCATTCCAGGCCTGGGTCTCACCTGACTTGCGATGCAGGCTGGAGACCCTTCCTCCAGCTGACCTCAGACAGCTCCAACTTGGCTTGGGGATGCAGAGCTCCCTGCCAGGTTCAGCCTGTTTATCTGTCAGCTGGTGGCCTACGGCGGGTAGAGGGAGAAGCAGGTGGCTATGAGTGGCAGGGATGGTTGTCTGCCAGGGTGCTCTGGGGACATGGATCCTAAACGATTGGGGTTTGCCAAGTGCCCTTCTTTCTGGAACGGAGAAGCAGAAGGCCAGGGGCGAGCCCCAAGCAGCGCCCATAGGGAATATCTCAGTGTCAGTCCTGAGTGGCGTGGTGCCCTGTGGGAGTATGGGTGTGCCATGTAGTAGTCTTTTTTTTTGATACTGGGGATTGAACCCAGGGTGCTTAGCCACTGAGCCACATCCCCAGCCCTTTATTTTTATTTTGAGAAAAGGTCTTGCCAAGTTGTTAGGAGCCTTTCTAAGTTGTTGAAGCTGACCTCAAACTTAGGATCCTCTTGCCTCAGCCTCTCAAATCACTGTGCCATAGGCACGGGCATATGGCACAGCACCTGGCCATATAATATTCTTTTTACACACAGAATCACCTCATAGACACAGAGCTGCCTTTTTGCTGGTCTGGTCTCAGATTTGTAAGTTCAACTGCTCCTATTGCCATAGCCTCCTGAATAGCTGGACCACAGGTGTGTGCTCTGGGCAAGATAGAGCTGCACTTGAAGGGCTGGGAGGCCCCTCTGCCTCCAGGGAGAGCCCACATGTGGGTCTGGGGGGCGAGGGGGGTGCCTCAGGGAGAGGGCTAGAACAACCCTAGGATCACCCTCAAATTCCAGGAGGCTCCCCAGTGCCGTCTGGGTCAGGAGGAAGTGGGTGGGAGAAAGGCTGAGGCACTTTGCTCTGTGGTGTGGGTGTCTGGGGAAAGGTGGGTGTCAGAAGTGGCCGGGACCAGGGGGAATTCTAGCATAGAGCTTCCCTTCTGAAGCCACACAAGGAGATGGTTGTCCCCAGGCTCAGCACCAAGACAGGTGGGAGAGGACAGAAGGTGTGGCTTGGTGACGGATACAAAGGACAGAGCGGAGAGCCTAAGGAAGACGCGGGGATGCTCAGCGGCCTTGCTGGGCCTCCTGTGCCTCGCCAGGGCACTTTCGCCCTCACTCTCCTGCCCAGGGCAGTGCCTTCTTGCCGCAGTCTAGCTGGGCACAAATCACTGAGCCGCCACAAAGCACTTGTATCTACAAACAGGAAACTTTATTGCCTGAACTCCAACAGCATTCCACGCACACTCCCCGGAAACTCTCCCGAACGCCACCCACGCGGCTCCTTCAGGAACACACCACACATCAACCGGAACTCCCTCCACCGGAACTTCCCCAACCAACGCGAACTCTTCAGGAATCCCCGGGAGAGCTCAACCTGAACTCAACGGGAACTCTGTGAGAACTCAAAAGTCATCATCTTAATGGCTCGCTGGCGTCACCTCTCAACTACTACTTCTGGCAAAAATGCCATGCGTCATCCCAACTCCGCTGTGGCCCTCAACACCTTCTCAGCTCTGCCTTCCAGTCCGCTGACCCGGTTCTTCCTGAAGGACGTAGTGGGGATGGGGTTGTGGTTGGTGGTGAACAGCGCAGGGCGGCACAGCCGCGCTGAAGCCCAGAGCAGCTGGGAGCAGAGTGTCAAGATGGTGAAAGCAACAGCATTACAAGGAGTAGCCCACAGGGCCACGTGTGGCTTGATAGACGCTGAAGAGACACCGTCAACAGCCATCGTGGAGTGTGCTTCTTAAACATAAGCAGTTGAGGGCTGGGGCTGGGGCTCAGTGGTAGAGCACTTGCCTAGCCTGTGTGAGGCGCTGGGTTTGATTCTGAGCACCACTTACAAATAAAAATAAATGAATAAAATTAAGGTCCATCAACAACCAAAAAACAAAGCGGTTGAAGTGCATGTGCAGGCACCTCTAGAAGACGACCTTGATGGAGCCCACTGAAGACATGGCTGCAGACCTAGTGACACCAGAACTCCCCAGCAGAACATGGGAACCAGTCGCACAGGTGTGGCCTGCTCCCAGGCTCCTGTGATCCCAGTGGAGTGGCCAGCGTAGGCTCTCCACGGGCAGGTGTCCTCCTCTGCTGCTTTGGTCAGGCTCCAGCATTGATGTGGTGCCTGGGCAGATGGGCGTGGGGCAGACACTTGGAGTACGTCAGCACTCCACGACCTGTCAGACAGGAGGAGCTGTGCCCTCTGCTGCGCATAGTTAGAAGGAAGCAGCTTGGGAATTGGTTCAGCTGGGTTCACCGCGGTGCACAAAACTTCCCAGAGAAAGTTGTAGGGAAAAAATGGAAGTTTTTCTAATCAAAAGTGACTTCAGAACAAGGAGATTGGGGAACTGAATCGCACCTTCCCTCTTGGATGAAGCCAGGGTGCATCCAGACTCCTAACAGCAAGTCACCGACCAAGAAGTAGAACCGAAGGGCAAAGGAGCCCCAGCAGGGAAGAAGGGAGGTCACCAGAACCCTGGGGTGGCCGGTGAGAGCACCAGGGCTGCACAGCAGAGGTGACTCTGGCGCCTCTGGCCTCCGACCCTAGTGCAGGGCAGGCACAGGTGAGGGGGGGACACCGAATCAGGCGTTTCTGTGACATGCTCCCCACATCTCGCCTGCCCTGCCAAGTCTCTGTCCTTGCCTGGCTCCATGGGGCCGGTATGTGCAGTGGGGAGGAGTCTTCTCTGTAGAAGCTGGCCGGGGGGGGTGACTACCACTAAGGACCTGCAGTTCTCTGCCAGGCAGCTGGCCCCCGCCTGGCACCTGCAGCCAAGCCTTCTTCCTGATGCTCCTGATGCCTTCCTCTCCATCCTCCTGTGGCTGGTTACCACAGGTCCCCTGATGTTTGGGACAGGAGGAGATGCAGTGGCGAGGGACAGAGACCCAGGAGTGGAACAGATGCTGGAAGGAGGGTCTGAGTGTCACAGATTAAGACCAGAGCATGTCCAGAAGCAGACTCCAACGAACTCTGGGAAGGGACATGCTTGGCTGCTGAAATGTCAAGAGTTCACTAATAAGCTGCATGACACACTTGAAGAACTCTCCCAGAAGTGGAGCCAAAGACAGCCATGAGGGCAGGGAGAGGAAGCTCACAGAGGGCGTAGGGAGAGGAGGAGGGGATGGGGATGCAGAGGAGCCAGCGGGGAAAGCCCAGGGTGCACTGGCAGGGCTTAAGGACCCAGGGCCTCGTGGTTATGAGGGCCACAGCACTCAGGCCGACACCCATGAGACGGGGTGGGAAGACAGCAGTGGGAGTCCTGGAGTGGGACACCACAGTGCCCCAGAGCCAGAGGCTCTGGTGGTCTGTTGTCGAGGGGAGGAGGGAGGCTGCAGGAGCACCAGCACTCAGGCTGGAGCGCCCCCCAGGGAACCTGTAGACCCGGGCAGGCAGGACACCCCGGAGGGATTGCAGCAGGACCCAAACAGGTGCTGTGCAGCTAACCTGTGGGAAGGGAAGCTCCCTCTGGAGCTGACCACCACCCTGCAGGGGGCCTTAGAGATGCCCCTCCTCCTGGGCCTGGCACTCCCACCAGGACAGCACAGTGGGTGTAGTCTGCCCCTCCATGCCAGGTTGGGAGGCAGAGTCGCTTTTAAGCTTAAAAAAATTCTCCGTGGTGTTTTAAGACTTTGTGTAACATGTTAAAAGTGAAAAATTTAAAAATTAAAGCAAATTCAATAGCAAAATAATAAATTATTAAAATAAAAAATTTTTAAGTTCTAAAGAAAAATATGTAAACTAAAAGCTTGTTCTTTATTTTGATACTGGGGATTGAATTCAGGGGCACTCTTCCACTGAGCCACACCCCTTTGTGTTTTATTTAGAGACAGGGTCTCACTGAGTTGCTTAGTGCCTTGCTTTTGCTGAGGCCGGCATTGAACTCATGATCCTCCTGCCTCAGCCTCCCAAGCTGCTGAGATTACAGGCGTGCGCCATTGCACCCAGCGCCCCCCCCCCCCCCCTTTTTTTTTAATTTGGTGGCAAGGATTGAACCCTGGGCCCTGTACATGAAAGGCAAGCACTCTACCAACGAAGCCATATCCCCTAAGGATTTCTTTTTTTCTTTTTTTGTAGTGCTGGGGATTGAACCCAGGGCCTTGTGCATGCAAGGCAAGCACTTTTCCAACAGAGCTCTATCCCAGCACCCCCCCCCCCCCCCCGCATTGGCTTTTTTTAAGAGGAGCTTTTACCCTGACACTAGGGATAGAATGGTCTCTCCTGTGCCCCTGAAGGGCATTTGGGCTGCTTTCCTGACTGACAGATGGGAAATCCTGCATAAGGTGCTAGACGGCAAGGATGCAGCAGCCAGGTGCGTTCACATGGCGTCCCAGAAGGAGCAGCTCTGGCCTGCTGGAGATGTGGCTTAACCTTCATGGCTCCTTCCCTGGGTGGCAGTGAACCCGGTCAGCATCTGCCCAGTACGAATGTCCTGTCTAAAATGCAGGGAGAACTGTTCAGAACCGGGAGTGAAGCCAACAAAAGGGATGTGAGAGAAAAGTGTGAAGTATTTTAAAAACTGGAAGAAAAAAACCACAGGCTTTTCTGTGGTGCTTGGAAGAAGACTTCGCTTTCTTGGGTGATGAGTCAAAGCCTGAGAAGTGTGATTTCTCCAGAGTGTTCTGCAGATTTATTGCCAATCCAATAAATACCTGTATTTTCATAGACACCGGCAGGCAGTAGGACTTTCTGCAGTCCCTGGGGGGCCCAGGCAGAGCACTCGTTTCGTAGCACTTTGTTTTGGTGAGCTTGCTTCAGGCAGTGCTCATGGTCTCTGTGCACTATGCCTCCAGCCTCCCCACTCATTGTGCTGTGTCACTGGGTAGCAGGGGCATTGTAGGCCACTCCTGGCCCCCTGGGTCCTTGGTTTACCTTGGCTCCCTTGAATCCGCAGGCTTCTGCCTTCAGCTTGTGTGACCTTGTTGTGGGGCAGGTCCCTCCAGCACAGCTGCCCCCGTGGCCTTGGCAGTGCTGGCCTGGTGAGCTGCATTTCCCCACTTGACCGTGTGACTTGGCTTCATAGTGACTGGCTTGTCTGTGGGAGAGGTGGGGGGGCCTTAACCCCAGTTCTCATCAGAGGTCTGGTCCAGTCTCGCCAAGTGCCACTGTGTGGTATTCACTAGCATCCCGCTCCTAGAAGTCCACCCTTTGCCTGTAGGCTTATTTATTCACGTTTCAGAATACATCTTTATGCCCTTATAGATTTTTATTTAATTCAGTAGGTTTTAATTCATTTATTTCATTGCTTAAATTGTTCCAGATTTTAGCCAAGTTTTTGTTTGTTTGTTTGTTTGTTTGTTTGTTTTTTGCAGTGCTAGGTGAAACCCAGAGCTCACAATTGCTAGGCACACTCTCCCATTGAGCTGTACCTGGGCCCTAGCCAGGTTAACTTTGAAGAACAAGAACATGGGCACTTGTTCTGTGAATGCCAACTTTTGTTTAACTTTCTGTGAGCTAAGATGGCATGACCCTGCTCAGGGATAGACACCTGTAACAAAAGACGTGCACACAGAATCCAGAAGAGAGACTGTAGGCTGCTGTTGCAGGGAGGGTCTTGCACTCTGCAGGGAGAGGAGAAGACTGATTAGTCTCAGTGGTGACAGACAGCACCCATCCTTAGACTAAACACCTAGACCTCAAAAGTACCAGTTAAGGTCTTGAAAAACAATCTAATTTGTACATTCTTGTAAACCTTTGAACATTTTTTTTAAACTTGGAAATAAAGTTAATTTCAAATGAGTTAGCACCAGGCGTTGTAGTATATGCCTATAATCCCAGCAGGGTGGGAGGCAAAGGCAGGAAGATCTCAAGTTTGAGATCAGTCTAGACAACCTGGCAAGTCCCTGTCTCAAGATAAAAAATAAAAGGGCTGGGGTTGTGGTTCAGTGGTAGAGTACTCGGGATCTAATCCCCAGTACCCCACCCAGCCCCAAGGTGAGTGCTCCAACTTCTTTGGGGCTTTTTTTTTTTATATATTTATTTTTCAGAAGTAGTTGGACACAATACCTTTATTTTGTGTATTTATTTTTATGTGGTGCTGAGGATCGAACCCAGGGCCTCACATGTGCTAGACGAGCTCTCTACTGCTGAGCCACAATCCCAGCCCCGCCCTTTTTAATTGCTTTTATTTTTTATATACATGACAGCGGAATGTATCACAATTCTTATTACACACATAGAACACAGTTTTTCATATCTCTGTTTGTATATGAAGTATGTTCACACTAATTCATGTCTTCATACATGTACTTTGGATAATGATGTCCATCACATTCCACCATCATTGCTAACCCCTTGCCCGCACCCTTCCCCTCCCACCCCTCTGCCCTATCTAGAGTTCGTCTATTCCTCCCATGTTCCCCCTCGCTACCCCACTATGAGTCAATCACCTTATATCAGAGAAAATATTCAACATTTGTTTTTTTGGGATTGGCTAACTTCACTTAGCATTATTTTCTCCGACTGCATCCATGATTTTATTCTTATTTTATTCCTGTAAATGCCATGATTTTATTCTCTTTTATTGATGAGTAATATTCCATTGTGTATATATGCCACATTTTTTAATCCTTTCATCTACTGAAAGGCTTCTAGGTTGGCTACACAATTTAGCTATTGTGAACTGTGGTGCTATAAACATTGATGTGGCTGTGTCCCTGTAGTATGCTGTTTTTAAGTCCTTTGGATATAGTCCGAGGAGAGGGATAGCTGGGTCAAATGATGGTTCCACTCCAAATTTTCCAAGGAATCTCCATACTGCTTTCCTAATTTGCAGTCCCACCTGCAATGAATGAGTGTGCCTTTTTCTCCACATCCTCGTCCACAGTTATTGTTGTTTATCTTCATAATAGCTGCCATTCTGACTGGAGTGGGATGGTCTTAGAGTAGTTTTGATTTGCATTTCTCTAATTGCTAAAGATGATGAACATTTTTTCATGTATTTATTGATTGACTGAATATTCTCTTCTGAGTTCATGTTCTTGGCCCATTTATTGATTGGGTTCTTGTTTTTTTGGTGTTTAGCTTTTTCAGTTCTTTATATACCCTAGAGATTAGTGCTCTATCTGATGTATGAGGGGTATAGGAAAAGAAGAACTTAAATTAGCACTATTTGCTGATAATATGATACTATACCTAGAAGACCCAAAAAGCTCTACCAGAAAATTTTTAGAACTAGTAAAAGAATTCAGCAAAGTAGCAGGTTATAAAATCAACACCCTTGGGGCTGGGGTTGTGGCTCAGCGGTAGAGCGCTCACCTAGCACGGGCGGGACCCGGGTTCGATCCTCAGCACCACATTAAAAACATAAATAAATAAAGGCATTGTGTTGTGTCCATCTACACCAAAAAAATAAATATTTAAAAAAAAAATAAAATCAACACCCATAAATCAAAGGCATTTCTATATATCAGTGACAAATCCTCTGAGAAGGAAATGAGGAAAACTACCCCATTTACAATAGCCTAAAAAAAAAAAAAAAAAAAACTTAAGAATGAACTTAATGAAAGAGGTAAAAGATCTATAGAATGAAAACTACAGAACCCTAAAGAAAGAAATCAAAGAAGACCTTAGGAGGTGGAAACATCTAGCTTGCTGTTGGATAGGCAGAATCAATATTATCAAAATGACCAATACTACCAAAAGCACTATACAGATTTAATGCAATTCCAATCAAAATCCCAATGGCATTCCTCATAGAAATAGAAATATCAATCATGAAATTCATCTGGAAAAATAAGAGATCCAGAATAGTGAAAGCAATCCTTAGCAGGAAGAGTGAAGCAGGTGGCATCACTATACCAGGCCTTAAACTATACTATAGAGCAATAGTAACAAAAACTGCTGGTACTGGCACCAAAACAGACTGGTAGACCAATGGTACAGAATAGAGGACACAGAGACTAACCCACATGATTACAGTTATCTCATATTAGACAAAGGTGCCAAAAACATGCATTGGAGCAGAGACAGCCTCTTCAACAAATGGTGCTGGGAAAACTGGAAATCCATATGCAACAAAATGAAATTAAACCCCTATGTCTCACCATGCACAAAACTCAACTCAAAGTGGATCAAGGACCTAGGAATTAAACCAGAGACCCTACACCTAATAAAGAAAAAGTAGACCCTAATCTTTATCATGTGGGATTAGACCCCAACTTCCTTAACAAGACTCCTGTAGCACAAGAATTAAAACCAATTAAAATCAATAAATGGGATGGACTCAAACTAAAAAGTTTCTTCTCAGCAAAAGAAACAATCTGTGAGGTGAACAGAGAGCCTACATCCTAGAGCAAATTTTTACCCCCTTGGGGCTTTTTGTTTGTTATGGTGCTGTGGATGAAGCCCAGGCCCTGGTGCACTCTGGGCACGTGCCCTGCCTCTGAGAGCCAGCCCAGCTCTTCCTTTGTTTTAACATGACTTTCACAGCAAAACAGAGGCGGACGAGGGACAGTCTTGACAAGGGACACTGTCTCAGAGTCTCCTTTTTAGTGGCCTAGGGAATCCTTGCCTGTACTGCATTTACTGATTGAGGGCATGACATCCTGCATTGGCCTCCCCCTGAGTGTGATAGCAAAGATCTCTGTTTCATGGAAGAGACGTATGCTGTGCAATCTTCTGGTCTGGGGACTCTCACCTTCCCTAATAGTTTGGATTTTCTGCTTTTCCCTGCCCACACCTTGCCACCTGGACATAACCGTGTGCACAGGGTTTCCATTGCCAAAGGAAACCGCCATTCTCTAGCCACATGCAGCAAGGCTCTTTTGCAAACTCAAAAACTCAAAGGGGAGAGCGCAGTGGAAGACCACCCTTGGAATTTCAGGGTTTCTGTGGGATGCATAGGGTTAGCTATCTCATCGCTTTTCCTTGAGCATTTTCCTCCTGTGTCTATTGTCGTGTGTAAAGCTTACTCACAAGGTGGTTTTGTTCAGAGTCACACCTGTGTGCACCCCCTCGGGGCAGAGCGCTAACACTGCCTCTCTGTGTCTGCTAGACATTTGTCTAAAGGAGGTGCCGTCGCTGGCCGACAGCCTGTACAACATCCGGCTGCTGAGGGAGTTCTCCAACCAGCACCTGAGCAAGTGCTTCTACCTCACCCTGGAAGACATGCTCTATGCGCCCCTGGTGCTCAAGGTGAGGTGGCCCCTCACCTGTTTCAAGGCCGTGAGCGCCGTGCTCACAGTGCTCACAGGGCTCATGAGGGCTCACGGTGTGCCTCTCTTCCCTTCAGCCAAACCTCATGGTCTTCATTGCTGAGCTTTTCTGGTGGTTTGAAAATGTCAAGCCAGACTTCGTCCAGCCCAGGGATGTTCAGGAGCTGAAAGATGGTGAGTGACCACCTGCACCATCATGCCCAGGCTCGAGCAGCCTACCCAGAACCCTGTGAAAGGCAGGCGGGTTGGCTAGCTCCTATTTAGAGTAAGCTATTCTCCCTGAACATATAATATGTCAAAATACACTCTACTGTCATGTGTATCTAAAAAGAACAACAATAAAAAACTGCAGGTAGTTTTCTGTGCTTCTTGCTATGTTCTAAGTAACCATGAATAATATGAATATTTCTGTAAAATTGCTATTTTTGCAGCTAAAACGGCATTGCAGCAGAAAAGTAGCCGGCCTCCTGTCCCCATCTCCAATGCAACCAAGCGCAGCTTCCTGGGCAGCCCTGCTGCACTGAGCCCCGCTGACCTGCCGCCACCTACTCAGCCACCAGCCGAAGGCGGGCATAGGTACCACCTCCATCCCGAAGAAGCTGAGTGTCTGTAAGTCACTCTGTGCTTTCCAGAATTAATTCACTATCTTGTTTCCCTTTTCATCGTCGCCCGAAGTTTTAATTAAAGTTATCTTTTCAATAGGTCATACATAAAGCACAGAAGAGTAGCCGTGGCAGCCTGTGCTCCTGCCCTGACCCTCTGGCCAGAGGCCAGCAATGGTGCCAGCCTCTTGCGGGCCCTGGTGCCTAGTTCTTTCAAGCCCGTGCTTCCAGTTCTGGTGCTGTCCACAGCATAGGTGTTTCTCCAGCTCTGTCCACAGTAAATCACATAGTTTAACATGGTCTGAAGAGTAGAAGAATTAAATGACAGTTTAAATTTGCTTTGTTGCAGAGTCTGATAGGATGTGTGTGTGTAGAATATATAAAGAATGAAATCCTCTTTGCATCTCAAGTACTGTGAATTGTTTTCTCAGAGATAGACCTACCCAGGAAGAATATCAGTTTGCTTCTTTAATTTCAGCAAGCAATTAACTTGGCTCTGGTAAGACAGTAAACAGAGCTGTTTCAAGTGTTTTTGGTCATCGGCACCTGACTGGACTGAGTGGATCTGGGGCAGATTGGCAGCTGCAGGGCAGGATGAGGGAGTCTGTGCCTGGCGTGTGAGCATGTTGACGCACCTGTCATTGTCTGTTATTGCTGTTACTATTATTCTGTGGTGCTGGGATGGAATCCAGGGCCTCCCTCAGGCTGAGCAAGCGCTCTACCTCTCAGCTACACCCTAGCCCAGAAGGTAGTTTTTAAACGTGGAGATTGAGCTAGGCTTTAAGAGTACAGCAGTACTTAGAGTGATTTTTGAGCAGAGCTTGTTGCTGAGTGATTCTGTGGGGCATGAAGACCTCTGTTGTCTTGGGCTGCAGAGTTGAGTTAGGAGGAAGGAGTCCTTGGAGGCGGAGGCAGTTCCCTGGTGCTATTCAGGGCGGGGTTTGCCGTGTTCTGTGTGGGGCTCTGAGGCCTGGAGACGGACTCCTGGAGCAGAGGTGGAGCACTCTGGCTGACATCTGTGCTGAGGCACGGGTGTCCGTTCTCCATGCGCCTCTCCACATTCCAGTCCCACATCAGCAGTGTGTGTGTGCACACAGACGTTATGGGTGCTGGGTGTCATGGGTGCACGCTGTGGGCCTGCTTTCTACCTCCCTGTGCACCCTGAGGTTTTCGCTCATTGGGATCTCTCCTGCAGCACACTCTAATAACTGTTTCTCTTCGCAACTGGGCTGGTGGCTAATAGCCATAGGAGCTGTGAGCAGCTCTGGGCAGGTGTTCCCCTGCCTGCCCAGCTCCTCGGGGACCCCTGCACCCCCAGCCATTCTGCTGGCAGCCACACTGCTCCCTAACTCTCTCCCACCCCCTCCCGCTGTCTTTCTCTCCCTCCCTCTTGCTCTCTCCTGCCTCTCTATCACCCCCGCCCCATTGTCTTTCTCTATTCTGACCCTGGATGACCCCCTGCCTTTGTGTCTGTAGGCTTCTTAGCTGTGGCCAGGGGACTCAATCTGCTCTTAACTTTGTCACTTCTCCCTTGTCCAAGTTCTCCTGAGAGTGAAATAGCCAGAGTAGCTGCCCTGTGAGGCCAGTGTTCCGACTGCTGGGAGCCATGCCCACTGACCAGTGCCCTTCCTGCATCTGTGGGGCTCTTCAGGGGCACACCTCACAGCACAGCTGTACACGCACCTCTCGCTGCCCCTCGCCTTTCTGGACTGTAGGGCAGAAGTGGAAGTGCTGCGGGCAGCTCTGGAGCTCCTGGTGGACATGGCTCTCACGTCCTCAGCCACCAGGACTGTACAGCACCCCTGCTTCTCTGGGTGTGGGATCCCGTTCAGGTCACTCAGAGCCACCTGAGTTAGAGTTAGCTGGATATGGTGCGGTCATCTTTGTGGTCTTTCACTGAACCAAGAATGTGCAGTTTTGAAAGTCATCTTTTTCAGGCAATTGCTTTTTCTCTTTTTTGCTTGTCTCAAAAGATCACCCGGCCGTGTGCTTGAGTGTTGCTGGGGGCTTGGGAACTGGCTGTGTTACACACTGTAACCAGAAGTACCATATCCCTGTCTGCAGCTGTGGATTTTTATCTCAAGTTTGAAGTTCTTGGTATTCTTTCTTGGTTCAGTTTCATAGAAATCAATTTTTGCCAGAGAACTTTTAAGTTGTTCCCTCCTTAACATGAATTCATAATGGTCTGTTATTTTATGTGCATTTGATTTGGAACTTGAAGTTTGATTAACTAGTGATTTTTTTTTTCTTCTCAAATTCTTTTTCCATTTAGTGGGAAAGGAACTTCTGCCTTTAGCCCTTCCCATCCTCTATTGCCACTGAGGCAGAAGCAGCAGAAAGCAGTGCAGGCAGAGGACAGCCCTGGTGAGAGCACAGTCCCCTCCACAGCCCCTTCGCCACCTCTTCTCGCTACTGTTGAGTAAAATAATGTTCCTCAAAACTGAATCATCTGATTCTGGTGTAGTAATTTTAGTTAATGTTTGCAGAACAAGTCTTAATTTGTATTGATATGTCTTAGAATTTATCATTCTATAGTTACAGTGCCAATAATCTAATAAATCCCATGTGGCACCCACTGAATTGGTGTGCCGTGCCTAAGCAGGAGCTGTTGACAGTCACCCAGTGTTGTCTTTGTGCTTTGGGCTGGTTGCTCCTCAATCATACACGACTCATCATTGGGACTGTTGAAAGTGGCACTGTTCTGATGGTCTGCTTGCTTGAGCAGCTCTGGCCTGTGAGTTAGGCATCATTTCCTGGAGAAGTGGCAGCTGATTGAAAGAACTTCCACTGGTGCACAGTTAGTCACTGATGCTGAACTTGCTTGTTTCCTCCGAACTGCAGACCAGCGACATCGATCTAACTCTTTAACCCGAGTCGATGGCCAGCCACGAGGTACGGCAGTAGCGTGGCCAGAAAAAAAAGCCAGGTGAATCACTTTGAAATGATACATTTCTATTTGGGGTGTTCATGGGACTGAAGCTGCAGTTCTCCACATGCTTCCAGGCCCCTGAAGGGCCTCCAGGACTCTTGGAGAGAGCTCACAGGCCCAGTCATCTCCATAGTGGTGCCAGGTGCTGACCGCCCTTTTTGTCTTGTTCTCTCATGGGGTGCATGTGGATGTTCCCGGTGGCCATGTAACATGTGGTGCCATGACAGTCAGGTGTGAGGGTCCTGCCAGCCGGCATAAAGGCTCATAGGATCAAATCATGTCACTGATAAGATAACAGGGAGTTTTCGTGTCATAAGCTTGTGATAGGCTTGTCATAGTCACAGTAGTGACTGCTCATCGGCATTTGGAGCATACTGGAGTTCTAATTTCTACTATGATGAACCGAGTCATATTGACAAGTATAATAAAAGCTCTTAGGAGTCCTCAATAATTTTTAATGATTATTAAAGGGGTCTGGGACCAAAAGGTTTCAGAATCACTAAGCTACAGTTGTTTCTGGTTCTCTTTTCTCCGGGGAGGGGTTTACTTAGGTGCCCTATACTTGAGGTTTGTATTCTTTTCGTAACTAGAGTTCTGCCCCAGACTGTCACATGGTCTCAGGGGTATGTGGCGGCATGTCCAATGGGCTTCTCCTCTGCGTTTCAGGCCAGTGTCCCAGCCAACACCCTTTGCTCTCCACCATGCTGCGAGCTGTGACGTGGACCTTGGCTCTGGTGACAGCGTCAGCCTGGCGCGCTCTATCAGCAAGGACAGCTTGGCATCCAGCATTGTTCATCTGACCCCACAGAACCAGCCCTGCCCCACAGCTGGGAGGACCAATGGGAGGAGCCTCCTGAGCAATGTTAGTATTGAGGATGAGGATGAGGAGCTGGTGGCCATCATCAGGACAGATGTGTCTCCCCACTGTGTGGACCCGCAAGGCCCCAGGGCCTCGCCGCGGGCCCCAGGCCTAATAGCAGGTGCCAGGTCTCCCCAGAGGCAGGTGGATGCCCTAGAGAATAAGCCTGACAGCTTTTTCTTGGAGCCCCTGCTGCCAGCAGTGCTGAGGCCGGCAAAAGAGAAGCAGACCACCACCAAGGAGGATGAGCGAGGGGAAGGGAGACCTCGGAGCATTGTGCCCAGGAGGCCCAGCGAGGGCCCTCAACCTGCTGCCCGGAAGAAGGCGACCGGCCGTCGTGACTTGAAGAGCACTTTCACCCCAATTCCGTGCTCAGAGCTTGCTGTTAGCACTGACCCTGCAGAGCGGGGACTGCGGTCTGCAGAAGCTACAGAAGTGCATGGGGGCCCTCTGGCCTTTGGCGGATTGGATCCGTTGTCTCAGGGACAGTCTGCTGATGGCTTTTTCCTTCACCTAGGCAGGGCTGATGGAGACACAGAGGGAAGGTTATGTGTTGGCCCAAGAAGCCCTGGCACCCCCGATGAGGAGCCCTGGGCTGTCCTGAGGCCAGATTCTGACTCTGACGTGGGAGACCTAGAGGAAGTGGAACAGGATTTCATTGGCGAGGACCCTGCCGTGGTGATTGCCAGGTACGCCGGTGAAGAGGAGTCAGCCAAGTTGCAGGAGGACATGAAGGTGAAGGAGCATGAGGACAAAGATGATGCTAGTGGCCGCTCGAGCCCATGTCTGAGCACTGCCTCTCAGCTCAGCAGCGTATCCATGGCCAGTGGAAGCGTGAAGATGACCAGCTTTGCTGAGAGGAAGCTCCAGAGACTCAACAGCTGTGAAACCAAGTCCAGTACCAGCAGCTCCCAGAAGACCACACCGGACGCATCGGAAAGCTGCCCAGCCCCTCTGACGACGTGGAGGCAGAAGAGAGAGCAGAGCCCAGGCAGGCACAGCCGGGACCCTGCCAGCCTCCTGGCGTCTGAGCTGGTGCAGCTGCACATGCAGCTGGAGGAGAAGCGCAGGGCCATAGAGACCCAGAAGAAGAGGATGGAGGCCCTGTCTGCGCGGCAGCGCCTGAAGCTGGGCAAGGCCGCCTTCCTGCACGTGGTGAAGAAGGGGAAGGCTGATGGTGCCCCTCAGCCACTGAGGCCAGAGCATTTTGCAAAGGAGTATGTTCAGCACAATGGCGAGGACTTTGACAGTGGCATTTCTAAGTCAGAAGCCTTCCTCGCCAAGGAAGAGCAGAGGGAAGATCTCAGTGAGTCTCAGGACATAGACAGAGAAAGCCTGGCTTTTGTCCAGCTTCATAAGCCCAAAGACCTGACGGCTGTGCATGACGGGGAGAAGGGCAGAGCGCTTTCTGCTGCTCTCCTGGAGGACGGCATTGGCGAGGTGGGAGACCTGAGCGAATGCGACCTTTCCATTGAGAAGCTGAACGAGACCATCAGCACGCTGCAGCAGGCCATTCTGAAGATCTCCCAGCAACAGGAGCAGCTCCTCATGAAGTCCCCCACGGTACCAACGCCAGGCCCTAAAAATAACTCTCAGGACCAAAAAGTAAAGACCTCAATCCACTTCGTTGAGCCGCTTTCTCCGACTGGGGTGTCTGGTCACCGCAAACCCCCCCGTCTGGGCCAGAGCCGGAGCTCCCGTTCAGGAAGACCAGCTGAGCTGAAGGTTCCAAAGGATAGGCAGCAGGGCTCTTCCCGGAGCAAGACCCCAACACCCACTGTGGAGACCCTCCCACATCTTCGACCTTTCCCCTCTGGTGATCACCCACGGACACCTCCCGACCCGGGCGTGGACAGTGCTGCAGCCCCCGGCAGCAACCCTCCTGAGAAGTGTCTCTTGGACAGTTACAGGCTTCATGATGAAAGCAACCAGCGGACATTGGCTCTGTCCTCCTGCAAAGAGGCAAATGTTCTGTCAGAACAGATGAACTTCACAGAAGCTGTGGACACGAGTGGGAAAGAGGCAGGGCTGCACTCCTCCGACCCCGCAGGGAGCGACCACGTTCCTGGGGAAGAGCCACTGAGGAGCAAGGCCAGCCTCATCGAGGTGGACCTGTCCCACCTACAGGCCCCCGATGAGGACGGAGAGGGGGCTGGCCACACGGGCTCTGTGGACCTCCTCAGCGACAGTGACCAGAAGCCTGGGCTTGGCTTCTTCTTTAAGGTGAGTTGGTGGCCCTTGTGCTGTGTTGCAAGAATCAAGGCTTCAGGCAGGTGCATCAAGAGCCCTGGGGGGAGCTTGGTGGGCTCCGTGGGCTCATGGCTCTGGAAACAGCCACAGAGACGCTCGCAGATGAGCAGGGCTGCATGCAGAGACTTTCTGTGAACCTGATTTGACTCTCCTGTATCACAAAGTATGTTTTTTCAGCTGTTTTTAACAGTTGGAGAAATGGTTGTCAGCTGCAGGCGGGGTTGCCCACCCTGGCTGGGCAGCACCTGGGCAGCAGAGAGGCTCTGCAGCATCTTCCCAGGGGTGAGGAGAGACACACTGGGGCTACTTTTCCTGAGACCAGACAGTGCAGTCCTCGGGCAGCACCAGACACACACTTTATTTGGTGTTTGTGCTTTTAAAATGAAAACACAGTTAATTTGGGTGTTAGCTCAGTTTGGAAATTTACTAATAGTGTTCAAGGCTAGCTGAACAAGGCATTTGGAAAGGTGGCCAATTGTGAATCCCTGTTGAACAGCATTTTTGTGTGTGTGTGTGTCAGTAATCTATAAAGGACATTTATTTCTTAGTTCAAAAGTAAAAGCTTTAGGGTAGCGTTAAAATTTTCTAAGTGTATATCAAAATCTGCTGGGTTGCCAGGTGTGGCTCACGCCTGTAATCCCAGGGGCTCAGGAGGCTAAGACAGGAGGATTGCAGGTTCAAGGCCAGCCTCGGCAACTCATTGAGGCCCTAAGTAAGTTAGTGAAAACCTGTCTTAAAATTTAAAAAAAGAACAACAAATGCTGCAGGATGTGGGGGCCTTGGGATGTGGCTCAATGGTAGAGCCCCTCCAGGTTAAATCTCCGGTATAAAATAAAAAACTATGTGTTGAGGTGCGCCTGGGCCAGGCAGTTCCGGGTGTTTCCTGTACTGTCACTGACCACCAGACGACGCCTGTGCAGGACGAACAGAAAGCAGAAGATGAACTTGCCAAGAAGCGGGCGGCCTTCCTCTTGAAACAGCAGCGCAAGGCCGAGGAGGCTCGCGTGCGGAAACAGCAGCTGGAGGCAGAGGTGGAGCTCAAGCGGGATGAAGCCCGGTAACCTCCTCTCCTGGTGCCCCCTCCGTGCCTGGCAGGGCAGCCTGGGTCCCGTGAGCCACAGGGATGATCAGGGCTGGCAAGCCCCAGTCTTAGTAGTGCCCTGCAGCCGCCTCGCTGCTCTCCATGCTGTCCCTGCTCAAGGCACTGGCCCTGTTGCAGGTCTGCGAGGGGCTGTGCCAGGCTCTTCCCTGGATGGTCTTCAGTCGTATCACAGCCCCGTAGCTGTGTGCTCATCCCATTTTAATGTCGAGGCCACTAGCATGTGGTGCAGCAAATAAGTTGCCCGTGGCCCAGCGCTCTGGTGGGGCTGCGGTTTCACACCAGAGGCTTGGTCCAGGGCCCACCTTTTGACCACTGTGCCCCCCGTGGAAACTGGCTTTCTCAGCTCCAGGGGCCCTAGAGATGCCCAGCCACAGAGCCTGGGTCCCCTGTGTAGGAGGCAGGTCCAGGAGGGGCGTGGTTTGGGACCCCTGTCACTCAGTGCTGTGGGGAACCACCTTGGCTCTCAGGCGTAAAGCTGAGGAGGACCGCATCCGGAAGGAGGAGGAGAAGGCACGGCGAGAGCTCATTAAGCAGGAGTACTTGCGGAGGAAGCAGCAGCAGATCCTAGAGGAGCAAGGGCTCGGCAAACCCAGGTCGAAGCCGAAAAAGCCGCGCCCAAAGTCCGTGCACCGGGAAGAGTCTTGCAGTGACTCTGGGACCAAGTGTTCCTCCACCCGTAAGTAGCCCCTGCCGTCTGCCACCTGCAGCTGTGCTTGGCGTGGAGCGCTTGAGCCGGGCAGGGTGCTGGGAGCCTCCAACAGTGTGGAGGCAGCCAGGCATCCCCAGCCTGTGGGGTGGCTGGGCCTTCCCCGCAGTCGGTTGCTCCTGCACATTGCCCTGTGCTTCGTCTCTGCAGCGGATAACCTGAGCCAGACTCATTCCGGCTCCAGCCTGTCCTTGGCCTCTGCAGCGACCACGGAGCCCGAGAGCATCCACTCAGGGGGCACACCTTCGCAGCGGTAAGGAGCTGGGCGAGTGGAGCTTCTGGGTGGAAAATGGGTGAGGGTGGCCTTGTCGCTTTGATCTGGTAGAATTCCAAGTTCACAGCAGGGTGGCTGTGGTGGAGGAGCCACGCCTGCCTGGCACAGCTGTCTGCTCTGTGACTCAGCATTGGCCTGCCTTGTCCCCAGCCCACGTGTGTGTCCACGTTCTCCAGTCTTCCAGGAGTGAGCCAGGGCGGCACCCTGTGTCTAGGCAAGCTTGACTGGTTGCCAGGACCGGGTGTCTTTCTGCCACATGTAGTTGTCAAGCCAGCACTTACCTGACCCACGGGCCGCATCCAGTTGTCATCAGTGGGCCCAGTCTGCGTCTGTGCCGATGCCATCGCTCTTCAGTGTCCTTTAACTTGGGACAGTTCCTTGACCTTTTCTGGCCATGATGTTCTGAGACGCTGAGCAGTTATGCTCCCATCTGCTTCCCGTGGCAGATGGGTCACGAGCGCCCACTCTGGGATGGAACAGCTCGTGTGAGGCCTTCCTCCAGCAGCAGGCCGGGCGGGTCCTGATCCCGTCAGTTTACTTGGATCATTAAGGTGGTATCAGCTGTTTTCCCACTGGCTGTTAACATCTCCCCTTTGTGATTAGAGGGATTGTCCAGGCAACATGGGGCCCACCTAGACATCGCTGAATGTGTCTGCCCAGCCTTGGAGCCTCCCTCGCTCCCTCCCATGTGGTGCTGCTTCCTGTAGAGCCAGGGCCCTCCCTCCTCTCCTGGTGCCCCCTCCATGCCTGGCAGGGCAGCCTGGGTCCCGTGAGCCACAGGGGTGACCTGTGGTATTCCTGTGTTCACATATGTGCCTGCTGTGTCTCCTGGCTTTGTGGAGGGTTCCTCTGACGGGCCCCAGGTCCTGCCTGGAGGTTTCTTCTGATGGTCAGCGGCCCAGCTAGACTCCACCCCAGCACTGTCTGGCACCCTTTGGAGAACAGAAGCCTCATGTCTCAGAGCTCTGTGCAGCTCTTGGCACCTGCCATGTTTGGTAGGGACACTTCTGCAAGCATAGCTCAGATCTGCCAGGCAGAGTCACTGACACAGGGCTTTCAGACTGGGCCCAGTGGGCTTCCTTCCTGGGTTGCATCCCTGGCTGACAGCAGTACAGAAGGCCTGCGCCAGCAGCAGCCCTTGCGCCCTGCTTCAGTGGACAGCAGCCCCAGGCTAAGCGTGAAGGCGCACTTCCTCCTGCAGAGGGGCCACCCCAAGTGTTTGCTGTGTCTCTTTGCCAGAGCGCGTGTGGGGTGGCAGTGTGCTTACCCACCCCCACCTTCCCCAGAAGTCCGCTGCTACAGGGTGCCCATACCCTGACGATGCGGATGGCGGTGTGGGCTGACAGGTGCAGTGGCCACGTGCTGGGTGTGGGTGGGAGGAGGGAGGCTGAAGCTCTGCTGGCCTCACCCTGTGTGCTTTACTGCCTGCAGAGTGGAGTCCTTGGAAGCCTTGCCCATTCTGAGCCGCAACCCAAGCAGGAGCACAGACCGGGACTGGGAAACGGCGTCGGCAGCTTCCTCCCTGGCCTCAGTGGCCGAGTACACAGGTGATGGTCACAGTCCTTGAGGTCACTGTGCATGCAGCCTCATGCTTTGGCTTGGCATTCTATAGAATACCAGTCTTCCTGTGTCTGAGGGTGTTTTCCTGTTACTGAGTAACAGCTGTGTGGCTCTCGGTGTCTTTGTCGTGCACCGTGGACTAGGGAAGCCCCTGGCCCAGCTCCCGTGGCCTGCCCTGCAGTGGCATAGTGCTGGCTCCAGCCGCCTTCAGAGTGGTGCTCAGGGCAGGTACCACACAGCCTAGGTTAGGCCTTCAAAATTACCTCCTGAGCTTGTCATTTTTATAGTAACGAACCCAAAGTTAGAAAGTGGATAGGTATTAGTCATTTTAACCTTTCATCTACCATTTCAAACTCACAAATGGGACTTCTCAAATCGATTTGAAGCAGTCCTCACTGCCCGTTTTCTGGAATGCGTGCATGTCCACGATGCTGCTGCTCTTTTCCATGTATTTGTGCCTCAGAATTTCAATTTTGCAAATCTTGGTCTGGTTTCTTAGGTCCCAAGCTCTTCAAGGAGCCCAGTAGCAAGTCCAACAAGCCCATCATCCACAACGCCATCTCCCACTGCTGTCTGGCCGGGAAGGTGAACGAGCCTCACAAGAACTCCATATTGGAGGTAAACGCCAGCCGCACGGTGGCTGTGAGCTGTTTGTGGGTTATGGGGCAGCCAGGGAGGGCGGGCATGTAGCTTTGTGAGCCCAGGTTGTGGTCGGGACCCTGAGAACTAGAGAGTTGGTTCTGGTAAAGTGCTGGTCACTGTTGCCATGTTGACAGTCTGCAGCTAGAGTGGGTCTGGCTTTGGTTCTTTTATTATTTATTTTTTGGTCCTAGGTATTGAGCCCAAGGATACTCTACCACTTGTGCTACTCCTCTCATCCTTTTTTATTTTGAGACGGGGTCTAAGTTGCTGAGAGTTTCACTGAGTTACTGAGGCTGGCCTCAAATTTGTGATCCTTCTGCCTCAGCCTCCTGAGTATGGCTTCCATCATCTCATAGGAGGTGACGGTGGCCTTCCCAAGTGGAAGTAGAGGCCTAGTTAGGATGTGGCTGGTGCTTCGCAGTGGGGAGCTTTCCGTTGGGGTAGAGGAAGAGGGAGGTGTGCTAGGATGGGCCGGCCCTGCCCAGTGCTGTTCTTGGCTCAGGCTGCACCCTGAGCAGTGGCCTGTGAGACAGGTGCATCAGGTGAGGTGCTGCCTGAGGAGGGGTCCTGTGGTGACTCTGGCCACACTGCCTATTCTGCAGCAAAGACCGTCACAGGCCATGTGTGGGCAAGTGGCTGTGCCTGGTCCCCAGCAGGCTGATTGACAAAGCCAGGGCAGCCCCAGGTGGCTTGAGGGCTGGAGGTCAGAAACTGATAAGGACTTGGGGAAAAATAAGAAGCAGGCTGCCTCAGGGTTGGGTGCTGGGAGTTCCCGGGTCAGCCGCAGTGCCTGGTGGTTGAGAGAGAGGCCCTAGGTCTTGGCTGAGAGCCTGGGGCCCAGGAAGGTGGGTGCTGCCTTGACTGGACTGACTGGAAGGCCTCCGTGCATCCAGCTGTGTGCCCAGTGGGTGTTTAGGAACAGACCCCTGAAGCTCAGGGTGAGCTCTGCCTGGCTCCTCAGACGGCGGGAGTGGAATTCCAGGAAGATGTGGGTACCAAGAACCCCTGCCCCGCACCTCAGGCGCATTTGTGACCTTGTGGAACAAGGGCTTCCGAAAGAAGCCTTTGCAAGCTGCCCGCCCGCCCTCAGAACTGGGCGCTTCAGTAGCACGAGGGGGTGTGGGTTGGTGAGCCCAGGAGGGAGGCTCCTTTCTTAATAGCAGATAATCTGGGCTGGTGCATGCCACCCCCTGCCCCTTCAAGCCTTTCTTGTGGGAGTGGAGACAAGCGGCCTGTGACCGAGGCATTTCTCCCTGAGCCTGTTTCCATGCAAAAGAGGCACTCCAAATTCAGAGATGCTCCAGCAGGGTACTGGTGCCTCAGCTCCTGTCGCAGCCTGGGGTGGGGGAAGACACGGACAGGGTCCCAGCCTCCGAGTACAGCTGGTGTGCCAGGCCTGCCTGCCCAGGGTACGTGGGACACCCCACCCACCTCCTTGAAGCACAGGTGTAGTGCCTGAGGGTTGTGTGTCCGGCAGGGCAGAGAGCTTCTGTCCAGGCTGGACATAAGGTGCCCCCTCTGCCTCGATCACAACAGAACCTCAGACTCCAGAAGGGAGGCAGGGCCAGCATGAAGACCTGCAGCTTAGGGTTGGAAGCCCCCTCCAGCCAGTGTCAGGAGCCACTGAGGGCTGCTGCGGGGTCTCGCTGCTCTGCACAGGGCCACAGTCCCCCTCCTGGCCTGCCTTTTGGCATCCAACTCTGTTGCTGTTGAAACTCAGAGGTTGTGCAGTTGAAATCAGTTATTGTACATAGATTTAGATTTTGCTTTTTCCAAGAACATTCTAAGAACGTTTGTGAATTTATTTAGTAAACATGTTATATGCTGACTGAGACCCCATAGATTTAGAAAATACCTTTCCTAAAGCAAAATAGGTGGACATAATAACAAGTCAGTGAAGCGTTGCTTCACACGTTCACGCGTATGCAGAGCAGGGATCTCAGCTCCTCCTCTCTCAAGCTGTTGCACCCGCACGTGTCATGTGGCGTTGGGCAGCCACCACTGTAACACACAGGAGTGAGTGGGCAGCAGGTGTGCCAGGGAGCTGCCAGGAGGGCTCAGAGGCCCTGGGCCACGCCTTGGGAGCTGCTGAACAGTAGGCAGGCTCGTGGCTCAGCAGGAAGAGGTCCTGTTTCAAAGGTTGTCAAGCCCTGACCGCTTGTTTGAACTCAGAAGTCCATAGTAAGCACCCAGCAGGCCCCTGTGGTCTGTTGCGTTTGCCTTGGGATCTTTTTCTCAGTCACAGCTTCACTGAGATGCAGTTGGTGTGCACAGGGTGTGTAATCCACCTTTTAAAGTGTGTCCTCCACTGGGTGCAGCGACCACACCTGTGACCTCAGCAGCTCGGGAGGCCAAGGCGGGAGGATTGCAAGTTTGAGGTCAGCCCTGGCATTGTAGCAAGATTCTGTCTCAAAATGAGGAATGTTTAAACAGGGCACGGGTGTGGCCTGGTGGTAGAGGCTGGCTCAAGGCCAGGCTCCTGCCCAGTGCAGTGGAGTATGATCCAGTGGTTTTTACTCATAGGCCAGCACAGCCGCCGATTGGCGCCCTGTCTCACAGTTTGCCTGTTCTGGAAAACTTCGGGTCTAGCTGCTTTCCCCTTGCACACTTTGGGGTGGTAGTTCATTCTTATTTAGTTATTTTTTACAGTACTGAGAATTGAACTCAGGGCCTCATGCGTGCCAGGCAAGTGCTCTGCCACTGAGCCACATCCCCATCCCTTTTTGTTTTTCATTTTGAGACCAGGCCTCACTAAGTTGCCCAGGATGGCCTTGACCTTACTGCCCTCCTGCCTTGGCCTCCCAAGTCCCTGTGTCCAGCAGTGCATGGGTTTGAGGTGTGCCGGTGTTGTGGGCTGTTCAGAACAGTATTTCTTTCCATGACTGAGAAACACTGCATCTGTGGGGGGACCATGTTTGTCCATCGGCGTTGCAAGTTTATGTGGCTTCTGCCTCTGCTCTGGTGGACAGTGCGTGTGGACGTTTGCACACGGCTCTCTGCGTGGGCCTGTTCTTGTTCCTCTTGTGTGTGACGGGGTGGAGCACTGTCCAAGGGTGGCCTCTTCCACAGTGGCTGTGCCATGCTGTTCCTCCCAGCAGCGAGTGTGCCCTGCACGCCCCCTACCTCTCGCCCAGCCATCATCCGTGCAAGGTGACACACTGGGTTTGGAGGGCGTTTCCCTCTGGCCGCACTGCCAAGGTCATCTGGGCTGGTCGTCCCTCCGTCCTGGGAGCCCTTCTCCTTGCTCACCTGGACTTCCTCAGTGGGGTCTCCACTGGGTAGACAAGCATGACTCCACACAGGCAGTCTGGCCTGGCTGGGCTGCCCTCACAGGGCTGAGGGCCGCCTGGGCCTGGCGCTGCAGCCAGCCGTGCTCAGTGCCTCTCCTTTCCTCTCACGGCAGGAGCTGGAGAAGTGTGACGCCAACCACTATATCATTCTGTTCCGTGACGCCGGCTGCCAGTTCAGGGCGCTGTACTGCTACTACCCCGACACCGAGGAGATCTGCAAGCTCACCGGCACGGGGCCCAGGAGCATCACCAAGAAGATGATCGACAAGTTATACAAATACAGCTCAGACCGCAAACAGTTCAACCTGATCCCAGCCAAGACCATGTCCGTCAGCGTGGATGCACTCACCATCCATAACCACTTGTGGCAGCCCAAGCGGCCCGCAGTGCCAAAGAAGAACCAGACTCGTAAGTGACCCCAGTGAAGCCCGGGGTCTGAGGACATGCCGACGGGATCCATAGTTACTGTTCCGTCTACTGGGGTACGAAGCGTGCAGAGACACTGACCTTTTTTCAGAGGTGTTTAGACCACAACAGGAAGCCCTCTCTCGCCTCCTTGCACGCACAGGGCATGCTGGGAGGGCCAGAGGGAGGCGTACGTGCCCTGTTTTCAGTGGCAGCTGCTGTGGTCCCTGCTGACCAACGCGGCCCTCAGATGGGGACGTCGTGCGGCGAGGTCTCCAGTGTGCGTCCCCCTCGCTTGCCCCTCCACACACTGCCTGCTGCCCTCCAGTTGGCCAGCGCAGGCGTGCTCTGCAGTCAGGTGTGTGAATGTCTTCCTGAGAGGAGCTCGTGTGGAGTCTTTATTTGAGAAGTTGTCTATTTATTGATTGTTCTACTGCCAACATCTACATCCAGTCCTGAGATGTCTGAACAAGTCCTTGTTCCTTGCTGCTCAGAGAAGCTTACTGAGGTTCCCAGTCCACTAAAGGCACTGAAAGCAGCAGTCAGTCTCTGCGGCACCCCTTTACAGGCGTGGAGATGGCGACTGCGACAGGCGGCCGTGCGGATGGCCGGGTACTGCTGGCTGGTGTTGGCCTGCTGTGAGGTGGTGCTGGGCCATCAGGGGCTGTGCCGGTGACGCTGGGTAGGGGCTGGTGGTCTGTTCACTTAATAAAAGCAGATTTTGGTACAGTTAGCGCATCTGTCCCTCTGAGCGGGTCTCTCCTGAGATGCTGCACAGGGCCGAGACTTTCTTTGTGGTGGTGTGACGTCTGTACCTGCCGTCGCGCTCTGGCTTGAGGAGTAGCATGCTCTGCAGGGTGTACAGGCAGGTGAGGGTGGTGACTTTGTCTTGTTGCCTATTTAAAAGCAATTATGTGGTTATTTGCAGTTATTCCAGAACTCAAGTAAAGTGGAGTGGCTTTGGGTTCTTTCCACATGGGTCCCAGTGGCGGCTGATGCTTCTCCAGAGCAGACGTTCCTGGGGAGCAGGTGCATCCCAGCCCCAGCCACGGCTTGTGCCACGCGGCAGAGACACCTGTGTGACGGACCAGCTGCCGGAAGATCCTGGAGCCACTTACGTTAGTTTTGCACATATTTTCTTGGGAGTGTTACTTGAATCTATCTTGAACTGCAGAAAAAAATTGACGTTAATAGAAGAAGTTAGAGACAGATATAACTGTCACACAGTGTTAGGTAGAAAGGTGACGGAGCTGTGTGCAGAGGAAGGAGGGGACATGGTACGGGACAGGAGAGGGAAGCCCAGGCCTCCTTCAGTTTCCTCATCCTTTGAAGAAGAACATGGCCTGCTCCGACTGTGTAAATATCGTGCCGGGCCCTGTGCTGCTGTGGAGTGACCGCAGCCCGTGCCGAGATTAAAGTCTGGACGTCTGTCAACATGCTTCTGCACGTGTGCTCTGTTCTCCACTGTCCCCTTGGTTCATGTTGCTGTTTGTATTGGAAAGAGCCCTGGAATGTCATGAAGAGTGAGCCATATGCCCCCCCGCCCCAACCCTGTCCCAGTGCAGGGTGGGCATTGGCTTCCCCTGGCCTCCTGCGGAGCTCCTGGGTGAACTGGCTTCCTGGAGGTGCTCCACCACGCACAGAGCATCCTGTCTGCGGGCCGGCCCCGCTGCCGCGTCTGACGTCTCTGGATGCCAGGGCTCAGGCCTCGTTGCTCGGGGTGGGGACGGGTCCTTGGTACGCAGCCTCTGCGTTGTTGGGGGAGCTTCAGGCCTTTCTGGCAGGGAGGTGATGCGCCCCTTGAGTTAGCCCCAGCGGGGCTCTTGTCAGGCCTGTGCTTCCTGAGTGCCTGCGGTACCTCAGTGCCACATGCAGGTCACCAAGAGTGTGTCCGTGTTTCAGCCTGCAGCCTAGTGGCGTGCTGGCACTTGGTGGTGACAGAAGCCTGGGGACAGAGAGGCTGGAGTCTAGACAGAAGGAGCTCGATGAGGCCCATTGTCCACAGACCACATGGAAACGCCTGGGCGAGGGTGCAAGGGTGTGCAGGCACATGTAGGGGTGTGTGTGGGCATGGGGTGTGTGCGCATGTGTGAGGGCATGTGTGCATGTCTGTGGTCATGGGGTGTGTGCATGGGTGTATATACAGAGGTGTATGCGCATGTGAGGGTGTGTGTGTGAGGACATGTGCATGTGTGGGTGCCGCAGACAGACCATCTCCCTTGTGTCCTCTGAGCCATTTCTGAGCGTGTTGCTGCCATGCAGCCTCAACAAATTTCAGGCCCAACCTGAGTTCTGCACTCAGGTGGCTTTGAGAAGGGGAAGAGTACAAAAAGTCCTTCAAGATCCGACTTTCATTCCCTGAAGTGCTAGCTTGAGGGAATTGAGGGAAAGTATTTACTGAAACACAGCTTTCTGTTCAATTCTGCTGGGTACCCTTCACAGGCTGGCTTTTATCTACCCTGTGAAGATAGATAATGTGGTCCTGCCGCTGGCCGGGAAGCACGCTGGCCTTGCCTGCCTTCTCCAGGCAGGACTCAGAGGAGCCCTGCCTTGGCTGAGAAGACGGCTGCAGGACAGGTGGGGTGTTGGCATCAGACAGAGCTGTTTGAGGGGTCTCCACACTCTGCCTCTCAGTGCTGTGGCATTATTGGGGACTTCAGAGGGCAGAAGCCACCCTGATAAGACTCGGGCTCCCTGAAGGACCTTAGTGCATAAGCAGTAGGTCCCTCCTGTGCCTCCCAGGATCATGACCTGGGAAGGCAGGTTTGGGTTGTAGAAACAGTGTCCTAATTGCTGTGCCACCTGGAAGAGGGACAGTCTCTGTAAACAGGGACCTTTGTGAACATCTCAGGCTCTTCTGTCCTTTAGAAAGAGCAGGTTGAATTTTCCAAAGTGTCTCCTCAGTTGAGAGGGGGTATTTTGCCAAAGTCGTGTGTGCTGGGGTAATAGCAGAGAGATGTCACACAGTGGAGGGTCTGAACTCCCCGCGGCAGGCGCAGGCCATAATCTGCAAAGGGGGAGGTAGAGGGTTTCTGCCGTGAAAATCTGGATTGCCTCTGGAGCAGAACAGGCAGTAGTAAGCCACACTGCCCTTGATCGTGGAACTCACCCCACCCTTCCCCGTGGGACCGCCTTTTCCCTAGTGAAGGTGGCCTGAGCTAGAGCTGGCTGCTTCTCTCGGAAGCCACAGGTTGGGCACAGCAGCACAGCCTATAATCCCAGCTGCTCGAGAGCCTAAGGCAGGAGGATTGCAAATGTGAAGCCAGCCTGGTAACTTAGCCAGACCTTGTCTCAAAATTTAAAAAATGGGCTGGGGATGTCACTTGGTGGTAGAGCACCTCTGGGTTCAATCCTCAGTAGCAAAAACCAAACAGAAACATAGAGTAGGGGGAGGAGGGGCAGATCTGTCCAGAAGTAGTGGGTGGTTCGTGACTTCTGGGACAGGGACTGGGCCTCTCCCAGAGACAAGTTCTGTCTTCCAGTCCTACATGGGCTCGCTTCCATTGGGGTCAGAGGTGGACCAGAGTGCTGCAGGTGGAAGTCTGTCAGGGCCACACTTGGCCCCTCTGGGGAACTGGATCTCCTGGGTTCACAGCAACAGCCTGGTCCCGCTGCCCCTGTGGCTGGCTGGCTGGCTGGGCGTCAAGTCTGGGGCAGGTCCACAGTGAGGAGAAAGGACTGTTTCTCAGGGTTAAGGAAGGTATTTGCCTGGTGACAAGACGATATGTGACCTGAGCACCTTAGCTGTGGTAACCATGCTGTCTGGGCCCCTGCAGGTGTGTGCTCGGGCTCCCTGGGAGACCATCATGGATGCCGCCCATCGGCAGGTCTGGGGATGTGGACCTGGCTGCTGACCAGGCGATGCACACTGGTAATCTGCTGTCCTGCCCTAGAGAGGCACACCAGGATGAGGCGCACCTCCAGGGGCCTATCTGGTGCGAGCACCTGGTAAATACGAGCGAGGGCTCAGGGTGAATCTGTGTTCACTTAGGAAGGTGACTCTGGAAGCCAAAGCCTGTGCCCTTCCCTCCCTCAGGCTGCACCTGGCCTGTCCCTGTGCCAAGTGCTCAGCTGGCACTTCACAGCACAAAGCTTGCCTGGGGGTGTCACAGCCCCCAGCCCACGTCTCCCAGCCTTGAGTCCGAGGAGCTGCTGCCAGTCACACTGCCACCCTGTGGGTCCTGGAGTTCTGCTGTCAGAGATGTTGAAGTGTGGAGGGTGGGGGTGCAGCTCAAACCCCGGGAAGCACCTTGCCAGCCGAGAGGCAGCAGGAGGGTGGTTGCCTGCCTGGGCCGGGCAGGGTGGCTCCAGACTCAGCCGGGGAAGCCCCAGCTCCTGAGCAGTGGCAGCGTGTTGGGGAGCTTTGCTGCAGGCAGAGCTGGTGACTGAAGGTTGAAGTCCCTGCCCCAGGGTGTGCCAGGGCCCCCAAGACCCTAGAGCCCCAAGGTTCCTATAGATGTCGCAGGGCATGAGAGTGGGTGTGCCCAGCACCGACCCATCTGAGGTTTCAAGTTCAGGCTGCCTTTGAGGCCTGGGACCCATAGGAGCTGGTCGGTGCCCCATTCCCTTCCCTCAGGGCTCCAGGCCCCCTAGAGCAAGGTGAGTGGCTTCCCCTGGGCCTCAGGCTGCAGCCTCCGTCCAGCTGTTGCCCCGGGCCAGCCCCTCCTCTGTGGCCTGGCCAGTTCATCAGAAGGCATCAGTTAGTCAGGTTTTTCAGAAGATGCTAAAACTCTTCCTGGAAGACATGACCATCCGCTGCTCCCAGGGCACGTCTAAAAAACCCTGACCGAACTTGGTGCTTTTAGACAGGAGAAAAGCCCCTGAGGTCATGGGAAGAGCCAGGGCAGGGCTAAGGTGAGGGCACAGCGTCAGGCAGAGGTGGCCTGGAGGCTCCTGAGGCCTGTGCCCACTGCTCTTTGTCGTGCCTGCCTGGCGTGAGAGGCTGGGACAAACTGAGTGGGGCTGGGCAAGGGTACCCCAGCCCGTTAGCTTTGGGGTTTGCTTTCTGTCCACTGTGGTCTATCACTGGGACACTGTGCACGTTCACTGGCTGATTGGTGTCACCGGACCAGTGGCCATCCACCCATTTTCTGTTGCTTGTCCTTGTTTGTGGTCCCTGCCTTGCCCTCCTTTGCTCTCCGGCTCGGCTGAGCCTCCCACGGTGTTCATCCTTTCCTCACAGGCCCACCTGGGTCTGCAGTGCTCCTGCCCCCCTCTGCCCTGCCATTCCCGTCACCCACCCCCAGGTGGCAGCACTCAGCTGTGAGCCAAGTTTCCTGCTAGGTCAACCAGAAATAAGGAAAATAAAGGTCCTCTCCATAATTTCGTTTCAAATTTTATGCTGCAAAGCCTTTAAATTCTAGCTCATTCTGGGCAGCGGCAGCTGCTGATGGTCAGTCTGGATCCCCCACTTAGCAGAATGGGTGTCTTCCGAGGGGTTCATCAGAGTTAGGACCCTTGAGTACCAGCGGTCAGTGAGGACAGAGGAGTAGGACTGACCTCCTTGGTGCCAGGACTACACAAGCCAGGGGTGTTGGCAAATGGACCCAGGACAACCAGAGACGTACCCACGTGTCCCCGGGCCTGGAGACAGAGATGGAGGTCGAGACAGAGTGCAGGAAGTTCTGGGTGTGCAGGCAGCTTTTATTGGTCTAGGAGCATCTCACAGTACACAGACCCTCCTGACCCCAGTGCTGGCCGGGTCCACAGCAGCCTCTGAACCTGGGCAGGGTGGAGCAGCCCTGGTCAAGGGCCCAGTGTCCTCAGTGGCTAGCAGAGGTTCATGGATTGCCCATCACCTTGAATGGGGCTAGACCCAGAGTGACAGCCCTCCCTCCTGCTGTGAGATGCTTGTCACAGGATGAGTCCCAGGTACCCACTCTTTACAGCACAAGGCGCTGCAGCCCCACCTAGTAGAAGCCAAGGTGGCTCTCCCACCCCTTGGCCCAGCAGCCAAATAGGTGACAGCAGGAAGCTGGGCCATGGCAGTAGGATAGGGGCTGGGGACACTGAGTATACATGGAGGTGGGCTCAGACCCCTTGCTGTCCACTGCGGCACCCCAGGAGCTGCTGACAGATCTAGTACAGCACGGCTGAGCTCTGGCCACCTAGCCAACGTCAACCACCTGCCCTCCATCAAGCCCCAAGACTTCCCTGCTCCTGAGTCTGCACAGTCCCTCCCTGCCCACGTGCATCCCTCTGTCCTTGTCAGCGCCTCACCCAGGCACTTTCTGAGCAGGCAGGCCCCTGGTGGGCCAGTGCGCAGGGTGGGGAGGCTGAGCCCCAGGTGTGTGGCACCCTGCCAGCCAGGCCTCCCACGCAGTTTTCTGTAGTCCCTGAGCTGCCTGCCCACCTCTGGGGAGCCATCTGTCCTGATGCTGGGGGTGAGCTGTGCCCAGGCCCTTCCCCTTTATCTCAACCTCTGCAGTGCACAAAATGGACACAGTGAGGTGCACACAGCCCCACTGGGCTCAGCTCTGGCCCCCAGTGGACGGGGTCCCCAGCAGCTATTGGTCTCAGATGAGCTGTGTCCACCCCACAAGACTGGGGTGCTCAGGGTCACTCCAGAGGCATTCTGGGATGATAGGGGTGAGGCTGATGGACAGCTCACCAGGAAGCCTCCAGGACACTGGGGCTTCTACCAGCCAAACTTCCCATCTGTCCCAACCCAGCATTATGTAAGGGCATGCTGGCCAGGCTGGGGGACAGGCTTGCCTGTAAAGTTGGGGGTGGGGACCACAGCAGACATTTCTGACCCTTGTAACTAGCCCCAGGTGTCCTCCAGACCCAGACTCAGAGCCTGGAGCCTGGGGCAGGCTATCTGGTGACGTGCTGCCTACAGAGTGCATCCATGTAAGCAGTGAGGTCTAGCAGCAGGGGCGGGGGCTGCCCAGATCTCTGCCCGAGGATTCCCTGGAGACCCTGGGGACAGCAGCCAGCAGCCCAGGGCTAATTGTGCTTCTCAGGTTGGGTGTTTAGAAACAAGACTTTGCTTTGAAATGTAAAATGGTCCATAGAGACACACTGTCACAGTGTCCCCAAACGCCATGGCTGGAAAAACTCAGTGTAAAAATAGGAACTGGTGTCTTCTGACTTTCAGTTACTGGCAGTAGGTACCCCCACCTGCCAGATCTGCCAGCAAGGGCCCCCACAGCCTGGGGGCTGCACACCCCTGGCTCAGCCTTCAAGACCCTCCTCTTTCTTTGCCCTCCTGGGGATAGCTCAGAATAGCAGATGGCAGAGAGCACCCCCTGGTTGCCCTTTATGAGGGCTGTGCCTCAGAGCCATGCCGAAGTCAGGAGGGCACTGAGCGGGGGTGGAGGCCACGAGATCACGCCGACTGTTCAGCACCAGCAGGACTGTGCGGGACTCCCCCGCTCCAGGGTCCAGACACGAACTCTTCCCCACCCGATGCACCCCAGTCCCTCCAGCAATGCCTGAACATGGCCATGTAGAGCAGTGGGACCCAGGTGGTGTCCAGTCCCTCTGTCCCCTACTGGCCACCTGCCCTTCACCTTGACCAGGCCCCGGTCACGAGTTGCGGTACATCTGTATAGAGACATGGACAGTACAGGTTTGTAAAAATAGATTAAAAACGTTTCCCGCTAGCCTCTAGGGTGCCTGATCTGGTTCCGCGCCTGGCCCTGGGGTGAGGAGTTCTTTCTGGGGTCAAGTCCTGGGAGCCACCCTGAATGAAGTATAGCCTCCCTGGGCCAGGCCAGTAACGGTATCTGTGCTGCTCCCTCCTGAGTCCTTCCTTTGGACCCCAGGCAGGGCACAAGGTCCAAAGGATGCCCTGGTGTGGGTTCCTCAAGGTGGCTCAGAGCTGGGTCTCGTCTCGAGTCTCTGGGTTGCAGGAGGACAGCTTGTTGCTACAGCTGCTCTTCCGGCTCTGGGAGCTGCTGGCCACGTGGGCCAGAGGGTCGGAGCGAATGAGATACCTGTGAAGCATAGAGGGAGGGCCCTGAGGTGCAGGACAGCCCATTGGAGTGCTCAGGCCCCACCCGCCCCACATACCCAAGAAGTCCCTGGCTGCCTGGGGAGGGGCAGGTCGCACTCACACAATGTCGTTGGGCTCCAGCCTCGTGTCAGGCGGGGGGTTGATGAGGACGTAGGAGAGGGTGTTCTGCTGATCATTCATCTCGTCTGCAAAGGACAGCCAGGTGGCGTCACTGCCCACTCCCCACCCTGGCTCTGCAGGGCCTGAAGGAGCCAGGGAGCTGAGCATCTTCTCAGCCGGGGCCAGTCCCCCTGGCACTGCTGGGCACTGGTCTCCAGCCCCTCCCTGCACTGAGCAGGGGTCAGCTAGCCGAACAGCCAGCATTGGGTGGCATCTCAGCAATGCAGGGCCCTGAGCAGAGGCTCCAAGAGCATCTGCCACCTGCACAGAGCACACACCTGGCACCTGTGCCTGATCATTCCCACGTGTGCACCTGTACACACCTACCTGTAGCTGCACGTGCCTGGACACGCCTGCACATACACACCTGCACACCCCTTGGCGTACCCTGTGGGGCCACGCACACTCCTGCACACAGATGTATAAAGCACATGCCTGACACACCTTCATACCCACCCACACCTGTACACACTTCACCCAACTCTCCCACCCTCCTTGAAGTGCCCTACAGATGCCACTGTCCCTGGGGACCAGGCAGGATCTTTCCCACTGGGGCTGTGCCATGCCCACACCAAAACCAGCATGATGTGCAGCTCACAGGGAAGCTGTGATTCCAGGAGCACCCGGTCATCTCACAGGTGTCTTGCACCGGGTCGGCAGGTGCCCTCGCCAAATACAGCGACAGATGGCCATTAAAGGCAGTGGCCCTGAATTCACTGGCTTCAGTTTACCCATCTGATGATGTTGGAAGGCACCCTGTGGCCTCTGCGCTTGGAGCCTCTGCTCAGGGCCTTGCATTGCTGAGATGCCACCCAATGCTGGCTGTTCGGCTAGCTGACCCCTGCTCAGTGCAGGGAGGGGCTGGAGACCAGTGCCCAGCAGTGCCAGGGGGACTGGCCCCGGCTGAGAGCAGCGGGGGGCGGGGGGGCGTGTCTGCTTGGAGCCAGTGGCCTCAGAGCCACAGCAGGCACTGGGGTCAGAGCCTCCTCAGCTGGGCACGAGCAGGTGAGCAGGAGGGTGCAGGCTGGAGTCAGGTGGTGGGCAGCCTCAGCCAGGAGGCCAGCCATATAAGCCACACCCAGAGCCGTGTCGGCAGGAAGGATGGCATGGTCACCCTGCACCAGCACAACATGGGGCCATCTGTCCCAGGAGTACAGCTATTTCTGCCCTTTTCCCAAAACCCATGGTTGGGTCTCCTTGGCCCTGGTTGGAGGTGCTGCCCTGACTGCTGTGGCTTGTGCTCAAGGCTGAGGGGAGGCGTGGTCTCCTGTGACCATGTGCCCAGCCATAGCTCTGAGGTAAGACAAGCATAGGGACAAGCTGTGTGGGCAATGGGTGGCAGAGGTGGCTCTTGCGGACCCTGTACTCAGACCACAGTCACTGGCAGGGCACCATGCTGTGATGTATGCCCAATTGCGACACTGGAATCAAGGGGCCACCAGTGCATTCACCCTGTAGGCCTCTGTGCCCAGCAGCTGCACCTTCAAGGGTGAGCCCCCGGGCCCTCCCTCTGTGAGCTTGGGCCCCTGGGCCCACTTTAGAGGGTGTTTCTGAAACTAGAGCTCACGGAAGGCCAAGTCAGGCCTGGCTCAGTACTTCTTGGAGGAGGTGGGTTATGCCAGGCTCCAGGCTGGACAGAGGGGCCCGGCTGGCCTGAGTTCTTATTAGTTTTGTGGCAGGCAGGGAACAGACACAGGTGTGGCTGGGCGAGGTAGGGGCCTTTGCTTCCAGCTTCCTCAGGAACAGCCAGGAACCCCTGGCTGCCTTCCATGTCAGGTCACCAAGGTGGCTCTCTACCTCCCTCCTCCTGTCTCCCCGAGCCTGGACGTCCACACACTCCTGCCCTCACTCCCCATGCTAGTCTGAGCTTACCCCCACCCTAGCCTCTGAATTGGGGGTTGCTTTTCTGCCTCCTTCCAAGGGAGGCTGTGGAGAGCGGGTAAGGTGAGGCTTGCTCCTTCATCTGTTTGCTGAGTGACCTGGGGTGGATGCCCACCCTGCTGGCCAGGCTAACAGGGCCACCTTGCCTTCGACAGGAGACTCCCCTGGCTTTCCCCTCCAGTGCCCCAGCATCATCGCCCTGACCAGCACGCAGGTGGTGACACACGAACACCACAGTGGGCCTGTGACCGTGGGCAAGTCTGGGGCTGCCTGAGCCCATGCCCGCCACCTGGCCCAGGAGCCACAGCCACAGGCAGTTAGTGGTGTGGCCTGGGTCTGGGCTCACGGGGCCTGGCAGAGGCCACTCTTGCGTGGATGCTGGTTCGAGGCTGTGGGTAAGGGAAAGCCCCTGCAGCAGCCTTGCAGACAGGCCCTGCCTGAGCTAACTCCATCTCGCCCTGTGTGGAGGGGGGCACCAGGACAGGCCCAGAGGCTGCCAGATGGAGGGGTCCAGCAAGGTCACGGCTGGGACTCTGCCCTGAGCACTGAGCCCTTGGGGCCGGTGCAGGGCTCTGGGGAGTGGGGTGGCCCTCCGCACTGGAGGACCCAGACAAGAACTGAGGTGATCAACTTTGTCCTAACTAGGCGGGGGGAATTTCTCTTGGGGTCCCAGTAGGGGATGGAAGCCAGCTGTCCCCCTGGCTCGGGCAGTACACACGGTCTCTCTCCTGCAGCTCAGAGCAGAGCAGCTCCAAAGCCCCCTGTGTACTGGGGCATTTTCCAGCCCAGGCTTCACCCAGCCTCTGTCCAGGGGGCTCAGGACCTTGGCTCAGGGGCCTCTGACATCTCATGGAACCAGCCAAAGAAGCCACGATGGCTGGGATGACCTTCCTGCCCAGTCAGGGCAAAGGCAATTGGCAGAGCTCATCCTACAGGGCAGGCCAGGGTGGACGTCCTGGGGTGGTCCCTGAGAGCCAGGCAGGCCTAGTCCTCCTGGCCTTGAGTGGCACAAACCCACAGCTTCGCCCGACCCACGAGGATGAAAGGTCCAACTGCAAGCTTGTGAGGCCCTGCCCGATATGGAGGAGCCTGGGGCCCTCTCTCATCTTTCCTGACCTCTGCCTGGCCTGGCCAGGGCTACAAAGGGTTGGCATGTCCCCTGTGTGGTGGTCAGTGTTCACTAGAGCAGAATTACCTTGCAAATATCCCAGGTTTACCCGATTCATGACATCACTGGCTGTTAGATTTGCTACGTCCTCTACAGAACACAGGGGAAAGGCACAGACAGAAACGGAGGGGAGGGGGAGAGAGAGAGAGAGAGAGATCAGCAAGCAGTGGCGTGGCGGGCAGCACTGCAGGCAGCTGCACACAGGGGCCATCCACAGGGGATGTGGTGGTCAGCACTGGCCACCTTGAAAGCGAGTTGATTGCCAAAAGGAAGCCAGCCCTTCTGTGCCAAGCTCTGGTGGGTGGGCAGGAGTATGTAGAGACCAAGGGGGACACAGGGCAGGCACCAGCTCTGGGGTTGGCCAGGCCAGGCCAGCCTGGACTCTCCACCTGCCAGTGCTTGGATAGGCCATGAGCACTGACCCCTCCATGACCTTGGTGGTCAGACCCCCAGAGGCAGTCACAGCAGGGACAGTGCATCCAGGGACGCCCTCCAGTGTCCAAAGGCTGGCCTCGGTCTCCTCGGACTCACCCCCCATGGAGTAGCTGGCAGTTGAGGCAGCTCAGTGTGCCCAGGGGTGCACAGGCAGCACCTGACCCAGCCCAGTGGCCCTGGGCAGCCCCTCCACTGGGGGGGCAGTGGGGCAGAGGAAGTAGATGGGCCTGGGCAACAGATGGGTCCCCGACGGAGCCTGAGGGAGGCTGGAGCAGCGGGGGGGGGGGGGTGCAGTGCAGCTGGAGCTGGGTCTCAGCATCCCAGGAAGAGAGGGTGCTCATGGCCAAAATCACCAGTGTCACCCCCAAACATGGCATAGAGTAAGGGGGGTTAGCTGTGGAACCTGCTCAGAGATGGATGCCTAGGGGTGACCTGAAGCAGCAGAAATGGCTGGCCACACCCTGGGAAGGACAGTGGGGCAGGTGGGAAGTGCCCTGGATGGGCTGTTCCGTGTCTCCCTGAAGACCACGTGCCCACGCCTCCTGCACGGAGACGGGCATGGGGCTGGGCAGCGCGAGGTGCCCTGTGGTCTCTCTGCCTTGTTTCTTTTCCCCATGAGAATGGTCCCTGTGTTCCTGCTGCCCAGCAAGACTGGACTTAGTGTCCTGTCTGTCCCTAAAGAAGACTGGGGAGATCACCTGCCCCACCCTCCCCACCTCACAGCCTCCTCCTCCAGGCTACAGGCAGCCAAGTCCAGTCTCCTATTAATGGACAAACAGAGGCCCCCAGCCACTCAGTTCTTGGGGATCCTATACCCTCCCCACACCAGGAGAGCCCTGGCCACTGCATTCCCTGCTCTCCACTGAGCAGGGCTCTCATGGCCACAGTGGAGCTGGAGCTGGCCCTGCAGTGAGGGACAGGCAGAATGGCCAGGAAGGCAGCTGGACGGATGGATGGACAAGAGGGTGCCACCACCCAACTCCTGCCCGGCGCCCTTACCGTAGCCAGTGGTGGGCAGCCCCAGGTGCTTCATGCGGTTCTTGACCAACTCAGAGAGCTCCTGGCGCTCGGAACGCCGGTAGAGGCTGAGCCGCTGCTGGTTGACCCACTCGGTGGCCGCGGGTACCTTCCCTGTGCGCTTGGTGCCCCTGCGGCTCAGCTTCCGGGCCCACTGTAGGCTCTTGCGCCGCAGAAGCGGGTGCTCGGCAGGGTCGCCACTGCTCGTGTGGCAGCCGTGGCCACTACCAGGACGGGCCCGTGTGCCCCAGGGCCCCTTGACCTCCCGTGTGTCTTCACGGTCCTCCACGTTCACTGAGACCTGGGACTGGGGGTGGGCAGCAGGTGTGGGCTGGGGCAGGGACCAGAGTGGAGCCGCAGGGAAGGGAGGATGGGCCCAGGCGGGGTGCCTCAGGTCTGCTCCAGGGACGGGGCTCCGGCCCTGCCCCCAGCCTGCGGTGGCTGAGCCGACCGCCTTAGCCTCTCTGGCCCGCGTTTCTGTGGGTCTGGCTGCTCCCTCTAGGCCCAGCATGTCCTGGCTCTTCACCAAGGGATGGTGGCTCCTCTGTGCCTCAGTTTTCCCAGGGTCCCTCTCTGCCACATCCTTGAGCAGTCAGCGAGGGCAGCAGGGAGTGTGGCTGGATCAGTGTGTGAGTGGGGTGCTATGGGAGCCCTACCAGGCAGCAACTGAAAGGCCGGGGGCCTGGGGATACGGGGGTCAGGCCAGACCTTGGGGAGACCCACTGTGGAGGCGGTACAGCACGTGCTGATGGCGATTGCCGCTCTGGGAGCTGGCACTGGACCATTGGGCTGGAGCAAGGGGTGCATCCAATGTCCCAACCCATGGGCCACTCCCTCCAGCCTGCTCCCCAGGAGGGTGACTGCCAAGAGCCCCTGAGCTGACCTGTGGCTGGCACAGGCTCCAGCCCCACTCCTCACCATGCATTTCCCAAAGCCCCAAACCAGTGGGTCCAGTAGGACCCTCTCCATGAAGCAGAGGGTTTTGAGGGTCAGCAGCACAACCAAGAGGCGCTCACCTGGGCTCTGAGGTCATGGGGCTGCAAAGGAAACCAAGGGCCGGCTGGAGCCTCGGGTGCACCTGCCCCCCCCCCCCCCACCTATAGTGTGACTCAGCCCCTCCCTGTCTGCACAGAAAGTGCTCAGTCAGGGTGGCCCACATGGCTGCCTGCCTTGTCCTGCGGCTCTCGGAGGCTCCCCTGAGCTCCCGCTCCCACTCAGGCAGACGGCAGCCATGCTGCCTCGAAAGAGCAACTACATAGGCAGAGGCCACCACACCCCAGGCCCCCAGAACCAGAGATGGGACTGGGAGTCTCAGGGTGGGGGGAGGCAGGCAGGGGGGTGGCTGCGTGCACCTCGGAGGTGAAGACATGACACTCGGTCCTGTAGATGCCGATGGGGATCTCTGCGCTGGAGGAGCAGAGCTTCTGGAAGAGGCGGCCGTAGGTGCGGATCCACAGGTCGTCCTCCGTGATCTTCATCTGCAACATGCCGGGAGTCCCAAGCTGGGGCGGGACGCGGGTGGTGCCCAGAGCCCCTTGCTGCGGGGCCCACGGGCAGGGCCTACCACCTGCTCCTAGGTGGCGCGGGAGCCCGGCCTGGCCCGGGACTTACAGCGCAGAGGTAGCCGGAGCCTGGGGTGGTGTCGAGGCCCAGCAGCAGCCTGGTGATGCTGATCATGTAGTCTTTCACGAAGGACTGTGAACCGAGCTGTGGTGAGGCAGGCGCCCGGCACAGGCCTGTGGCGCCCGGCCTCCGTGCACCTGAATGCCGCCCCCAGGTTTGGTAACCCACGTGGCCAAACACACTAAGTTAGAACAGGATCAGAACCCAAAGTGGAGCCCAGGGCAGCCCCCAGAGGAAGGGGCCTCAAAGATGCTGAGGTGAGGCCCACTGCCCTGGGGGACTGGACGGGGGTTTCACAGGACTGCGGGGGGTGACCCGGGAAGGCACCAAGTTCTGGCAGGGAGACGGGGCCTCTGCGGCGACCGAGCCCCCCTCCCTCCACACTGGCTGACCTGATACAGAAGCGTGTCCAACATGCTAATGCTGAAGACCCGTCCCGCAGCGAAGGGCAGGCGGAACATGAAGGCCAGGTTGGAGCCATTCTCCCGCTCCCGCTGCAGGAGAGAAGTGTCCTCAGATTGGCCTCGCCCACGCCCCACGCGCAGGGGCAGCCAGAGGTCAGGATGGTGCATCTGCGTATGTGTACAGGCGCCAGTAATCACTGGCCAGTGGGCCTGGGCCCCAGTTCACACTCAGAGCCAGGGCCTGGGAGTGACCACTGGAGTCCTAAGGAGAGAGGCCCAGGGTAGGTGGACTTCCTACACCAGCCACCCGGGACTCTTTTTGTCTGGGGATGGATCCTTGGCATTCTTTGTACCAGGCCAGCTCTACCTCTGAGCTGCGCCCTCAGCCCAAGCTTCTCAGTAATTTTCAATTGTAGACCGTATTTTGTGAATGACAGGACACTGGGGCACAGAAGCAAAGGTGCAGCATGTTTACCTGCTTATCCCCTGGCACACAGTGTAGACAACACTCCTGGAGCATGGGGAGTTTGATGCAGCCACTGTGGGTGTCCCAGGACTGCCAGGACAAGCCACCAGGAGCTTAGTGGCTTAAAACAGCACACTTCACCTCTCCAGGTGCTACAGATCAGACTGAACCCAGTGTCAGCAGGGCCTTGCTCCCTCTGGAGGCTCCAGAGGTGCTTCCCCACCTTTACTGTGTCCTGGGGCACCACCTTCATTGGCTCGTGGCCTCTCTGTCCATCTCCAAATCTGCAGTGCAGCCTCCTCCACCTCTCTGACCTCCTCCCTCCTGCAAGGATCCTATGGTGACGTGGGCCAACATGGACCATCCAGGACCCTCGCACATCTCAAGGCCCTCAGTTAATCCCATCAGCAGAGCTCCTTCTGCCACAGAGGTGGACACTTGCAGGCTCTGGGGACAAGGGCGTGGACATCTTCAGAGCCGTTCTTCAGCTGGCTGCACCCCAGTGGGGGTTCAGGTGGCAGGACATCAACAGCTGAGGACGCGCTGCCCACTGCAGCCAGAAAAGCTTCAAATGCAAGGAGGTGGGAAGCTTCCAGAGGGGCAGATACCCTGGCAGCCATTGCTACCGGTGCCAGGCTCCTTCCCTCCAGGGAACCACAGAAGGGAGCAGAGAGCAGTGGCTACTTTCCCTTCTCACTCCTGCGACCCAGAAGAGGGGAGTGTCGGCAGGAGGGCATGTGAGCCGCCAAACACAGACAGGCGACCCCAGTGATTCATGATCTGTGTGTGCCCTTACGTCTAGGAGCAGACCGCACCTGACGAAGGTGGACGGCAGGATCCCCATGATTAAAATGATTGTTTTGCTTAAATCAGAACAGAACAAAACGGAAGTTAAGAAGAACCCTGGCAGGTCCACAGAGACAGAGAGAGGAAGGCAGCTCTGATGTGTTGGTTCCCTTCCAGAACCTTCTCCATTGAGCACTGCCTCACTTCGCCCTAGAGGGACATCTGGGCTTCAGTGGGAGCAAGTGCGTCTTCAAGTCTTCCCATGATGGTGAGGACGCAGGGACACCCCGTGAGCCATGAGAACAGCCAGCCGGGAAGTGGCCAGCCCAGGCCAGCAGCGTGGGGTCGGGTGTCCCTAGGTCAGCTGAGCCAGCCCAGCAAGGGCTGCAGAAGGGAAGCTGCACAGGCTAAGGCTGGGGGAACCCCGGAGCTGTGTGGGGCTGTGGGTGCAGGCGCCAGCCTCTGCCCCTCAGCCAGACCCCAAGGCCGTCCACCTGCGCGGGTGCCTTCCCATCTCAACACACCAGGGAGTTCACCTGCAACCACCGCACCTCCCCGGGGCCCTCATCTCAGTGCTAGAAATAGCTTCAACCTCTGCTTTTCTCGCGAGGGGTAAGGCGAGTTCAGGACACCACATTCCAGGTGCACGCCAGGGGAAGGTCGGGGGCCGCTGAGGCCCCTCTTCTCCACACTTGCCAGCACCACTCGATGGGAACTCAGAGCAGCAGGAACATTTCTACTAAAATAGCCATCATTGGTCTCTTTTAACCCAGGGTCTCGTGCTGCCCACGTGCCCAGCTGAAGTCTCCAGGAGCCCCGTGTCTGAGGTGGCAGAGTCCTGCCTGGGACCCAAGGCCAAACTTGTCCTGGCAGAGAAGACAGGGCCTTGGTGGACCCTGTAAACTGGCACTCACCGGGGAGTGGGTGGGCAATGGATGGCCTCAGTGGCCTGCCCCACTCCTCCTCCTTGGCCTGAGCCCCCCAGGACCTCCACGCCTCTGGACCTCAACCTCATTCCAGCACAGAGGACCCAAGGTTGTTTCCTAAGAGCTTCACAGCCACCAAGGCCACACAGTGATGTCCTGGCCCCCAGCTGGTCCCTGTCACCCCTGTCGTCACAGAACCACAGGATGGGCCCATTCACTTTCCTGAATGAGGAGCTGGCCTGGCCAGGCAGTGCTTGGGGAGGAGGTGGCACAGCACTGGTGACGTCTGCCACAGCAAGCAGGGCAGCCTGATCAGCGAGACCTGACCTACTTCTGGCCTCCTTGAGGCACGGGGGAGGCACAAGGCCCAGGAGGAGCTGGGCTGACCCTGGGGAGGGTGGTGAGCAAAAGCAGCACTGAGGACTGGGCAGGCCTGCCCGACTCATACCCGGTGCTGCCCACTGGCACTGGGTCTTCCTGGTGCTCAGAATCCTGGGGCTCTGTGGCTTCTGAGGCAAGCCTTGACCTGCCAGTGTGGCCGCCCTCCACGACCTCCTCCTGGGGAGAGCGTCTGAGCTGTCAGGTGTGGGACTGAGGGACACAGAGACCCACCCATCAGGGTGTGGGGAAGCACTGGAGTGGGCAGAGGCCAGGGCCTGGGTGAGCCTCCTGCTGTGGGAGCCGCTCTGTCGGCCTGGGGGCTGTCCACTGCCCACCTGGCGTCCTCTCATTTCTCTGGTGCGGACAAAACCCAAGGTCTCCGTGGGCCTCTGGGTCTGCAGCCGGGTGCAGCCCGCTTGCATTGTCCATCAGGTTCAGTCAACAAAGTTGAGTCCACGTGCCACGAGCCTTGTCCCTTCTGCCTGGTGCCGACGGCCAGGCCTGCTCCGGGGGCTTCGGCTCACAGGTCTTCCTGAGTCGGCCACACAGCCCCTGCAGCTCTCCAGAGAGGACTCTGGCCCAGACTGAGCAGCGAGCATGCGTGGCTTTGGACATGGTGGCCGTGACCTCCAGATGCCTCCTTACCCACTCCCTGGCCTCCAGCTGCCCACCCTAATACATGGTCAGTCCTTGTGAGGACAGGTGTGCTGCCACTAGCCTAAGCATGGTCACCAACAGTGACCATGTCTTCCCCACCATGTGAGTCTCACATTCTTGGTGGATTCCTGTGTCTTTGGTGCGTCCCTACACCCTAATGGGTGGGTCTCTGTGTCCCTCAGTCCCACACCTGACCACAGCTGATATCCTGCATGGAGCCCCGAGGTACAGATGGGAGGATGCTGGGTCCAGCTCTGCCACCTGCTCTGTCCATCACGGGACCTGAGGCAGGTTTCCTCCCCTCTTTAGGTCCCCACATGCCAGGCCCTAACCAGGGCCTAGGACCTCTATGCCACGTAGGCTCTGAACGCAGACCAGGGCAGAGAGCCCAGGGCTGCTTCCTGAGAGACTCAAGCCCTGAGGCCACACTCAGCAGTGTCCTGGCCTCCCTAACTGGACCACCTGAGGACCCAGGCCCCATTCACTGTCCTGAGATGGGCCCACGGTCAGGTGTGGGGCTCAGGTGGTCCACCCACCTGGAGAGCTCCCTGTGGGGATTGGAGCTATACTGGCCAGCTGACCATCCCAGGACAGACAGTCTGGATTCTGGGTGGCCAGGGCCTGCTAGTGCCCTGTGGGATTTCCCGGCTCCAGGATCAGGAGCCTTCAGCTGGGCTGTCCCTGGCCTCCTAAGCACCCACAGGAGGCTGCCAGCTCCCATTTCTTCCTCTTGCTCTCTCCAGACTCCGGGGCTGAGTGGCTGGCACTCAGGGCGGGGGCTGCTCACCTTTTCGAGTTTGGAGAGAGCCAGAGAATAGCTGTCCTTGGCACGGAACTGCATGAACCGCATGTTGGAAGGGTGGGTGAGCTCCGTGGTGATGCTGAGGCTGGGGAAGAGCCTGGGGAGGAGGGAGGTGGGCCCTGGTCAGCCGTGGGGCTCAGGGCGGGCCCTGGTCAGCCATGGGGCTCAGGGGTCTGTCGTCAGGGCGTGGGGCTCAGGGCCTGTGGTCAGCCGTGGGGCTCAGGGCCTGTGGTCAGGGTGTGGGGCTCAGGGCCTGTGGTCAGCCATGGGGCTCAGGGCCTGCAGTCAGGGTGTGGGGCTCAGGGCCTGTGGTCAGCCATGGGGCTCAGGGGTCTGTGGTCAGCCATGGGGCTCAGGGGTCTGTGGTCAGCTGTGGGGCTCAGGAGGCCCATGGTCAGCCATGGGGCTTGGGGCATCTGTGGTCTGCCTTGGTCAGCTGTGGGGCTCAGGAGGTCCGTGGTCAGGGCCTGGGGCGGGGCCTGAGGCCAGCCGCGGGCCTCACCGGAACATGGTCTGCACGTTGACAATGGTCTTGGCGTCGGCCATGTAGTCCTCCTCCGCGCTCATGGTGCTCTCCTTGTCCACCACCACCAGGTTGTCCGCGTAGATGATGCCGCACTGCAGCAGGCTGTCCAGGCTGGTGCAGACAGGAGCCACATGGCCCAGGGACCCAGCCCACTTCCCCCCAGGTCCCTCTGGGGCCTCGGATGCACTCCCCTGCCCCAGCCATCTGGGCCACCTGGCTGCGCCACCTCGGGAGAGCTCAGAGGGGACAGGGCCCCATCCTCGGCTCCCAGTGCCTTACTTGTCCACAGAGCCCTCCATGTAGTAGACCATGGGGAAGCAGCAGATGGCCTCCAGGAAGTGGTGGTCAGGCCTGGGGGACAGCAGAGCCTGCAGGTGCCATCTGCTCCATGGCCCACCCTGCCCACACCCAGGAGCAGGGGACCCCGGAACTGCAGCCCATTAGACCTGGGAGTCTAGGGGAGATGGAGGCCAGTGGGGAGACCGAGGCCCAGGCAGGACCTGCTGAGGTCGGACAGCTAAGACCAGCCCTGGCCTGCCACCAGGCCTGTGGCAGAGACTGGCTCTGGGTAAAAGGAGCCACAGGGTGTGAGAGCCGCGGGCCCTACAGCGGGAGTTAGTCGTGGGGACAGGAGGGAAATGGACACGGGCCGCAAGGGAGGAGACGAGGAAGGAGGGCGGGGGAGGAGGGGCACCAGCTGCAGGCCAGGCGGGGAGGCCCTCAGGGCTCACTTGTTGTCCAGTAGCAGCACGATGGGGTTGAGCTCTTTGCGTGAGCGGTAGTAGGCCCGCAGGGGCACGATGAAGTTGTAGAGCCCGTTGCCGGCGGTCTCGGCCGAGACGATGATGAGCTTGTTCTTGAACCCGTAGGCCTTGGCATCCTCATAGCTGTTGTGCTTGCAGCCCTGAGTAGGGCCAGAGCATGTCACCTCCCCACACCCACCGCGGTCAGCAGGAGCCCCCAGAGGCCACAGCTGTGCCCGCTGGCGTGCCTCCAAGGGCAGCGCTGGCGCCCAGGCGAAGCCAGTCCGTGAGCGTGGGTTTAGCCACAGCTGCCGACGGGCACACCCACATCCTGGCCAAGGGCCAGAAGTCAGTGGCCTGGCCCGGGCACCCGGTGCTGTTCCCACAACACCCTTCCCCTAAGAGCCCTCAGGCCCTGGGCAGGACCGGCTGGGGGCATCTCACGGGAAAGCATAGCTCTGCCAGGGGACGGTGGCATGGGGAGTTCCCAGTCATCTCATGGGTGAGGACAGATGGCCCATGAGGACTGGCCTGGTGTCCCATGGGTGTCAGCCCTGGGAAAAAAGGAGTGCACACGCCTCAGACCCATGGGCGAGTGGAACCCATGGTGGAGGGCGCCATCTTCTCCGCAGAACAACAGAAGCCGCGAGGCGTCTGGGGCCTGGAGAGCAGCAGTGGGGCCAGGAGCAGCGCAGGAGCCCACGGTCCTTCCCACGCTCCCCGCGGGGCTTCGACAGCCTCCCCAGAGCACTGTGACCAGCGGACACTGGGGGAAGGCTGAAGGCCTGAGTGCGAGGCTCCCCAGGGAGCCCTGCTCAGAGGTGACCTGGGCTCCAGGACCATGAGCACCTCAGAACAGACATTGCGCCAGGCCGAGGTCCTGCCCAGCTCTGGCCACAGGCTACACCAGGAGAGACGGCCCTGGCGCTGCAGGAGCAGGGGTGGATAGGGAGGCGCCCACCCACCCTCACGCAGTCCAGGAAAAGTGCCTCTTAGGAATCTGGAGGCCAAGAGCCAGGACGGTGGGGGTGAAGGCCGGCGCAGCGGGGAGCACTCTGTTCTCACCCTCGCGGCACTCCCCAAGTCGGCAGCTGCGTCCGGATGTGAAGGGGGAGTGGGAGGTGGGGCCGCGCTGGCATCTGGCCCGGCTGGCGGGTGGCCTTACCTTGTCAAGACGAAGACAGCAGAAGGGCGCTTTCACGGGCAAGAGGTGGCACAGAGTGGGGGAGCTGCCGATGTAGGGCGAGTTGGGGGGGTAGCCCTTCACGTACCTGGGTGGAGACGGGCCCTCAGCACGGCTCTTTGGTAGCCATCCCAGGGCCACCACTACCGGGGGACTCAAGGGTGTCCATTCCATCCCCGGTCACCCTCTGCTGGCCAAGGGGGCTGGCTCTGCTCTAGATCATCAGCACCTGGGACGCACTCCTGGAGCCTGGCCTCTGGCCACCAGCAGGACCCAGCCAGCCCAGGCAGCCACATGGGGGACGAGACCTCAAAGACGAGCCACAAGGTCAGGGCCTCCACCAATGTCCTAGGGTGACTCAAGGCAAAGGTGTGTGTGCAGGGGCTATCACCGCTGTGCCCTCTCCCAGGGTGTCAGCAGACCTTGGGAAGGGTCACCTCTCCAGGCAGCCCCAGGGCCCCCCAGTGGTCAGACCTCCAGGGTGGGGCAGGAGGTGGCCTCTGCCCTGAGACCCCTCTCTCCTCAATGCACACATTCACAGAGAAGCCTGGGCTAGACCCTGAAGCCAGGATAGACCCAAGGGATCTGACCACCCTGTCGAGCTCCCTGACACCCCAGCACCCTGGCCAGCGGGCAGACACTGCGGCCTTGAGTCCTGCCTCAGTGGCTTCCCTGGGCCAGCTGGTCTCCCCTGCAGGCCACTGACCCCTCATCCCTGTCCAACAGCTCCCAGCACACACCACACTGTGCCCTGGCTGCCCACCACATTCCCCTCACTCCACCTCCAGGGGCCTCCAGATGGCAGCCTCAGGGGCAGCCTGCCCCTGCCCTGCCCTGCGGGGCCTCGAAGTGGCTCACTGGCAGCCACAGGCCATGACCCTGGTGGTGGGCACCACATGTCTCCTGACCCCCAGCGGGAGGCCCTGCCTTCTAGGGCAGTGAGGGCTGACCAGTTGCAAGGTGCACCTGGTGCTGTGGACGCTGCCTGAGTGCGCACCAGCCTGTGGGCAGGCGGGGGGCAGAGACTTCTGTGCAGAGCTGCTGTGGGGCTGGTGCCTCGGGCAAGGACGGGTCTCACGCTGGGGTGGCCTTGCCCCAGTACTGGCCCCACTCGGGTCTGTGAGCCCCCAGGAGGGGACCCACCCCACTCAGCGCTGACCTGCAACCCTGGCTGAGGAGAAGGGGCACAGACCTGCAGACCCCTCAGCATGCCTCTGCTCAAAGCGCTGCCGGGACCAGGGCTCAGGCACGGGACAGAGGTCAGGCACCTGCTCTGCCGTTTGCAGAGCCAGAACCCCCAGGGAGCCAAGAGCCCCCCAGGGCCTTCAGCCCCCCAGCACGCCCACCCACTGAAAGCTCAACCCCTGCAGCAGCACTCACTCGACCACGGAGAGCCCCTCGTCATCTGAGGGCGTCACCTCATCCTCAGACTGGTCACTCAGCAGGTCACAGGGCAGCAGGGCCGAGCTGTCTGCCAGCTCCAGGACCGGGGCTATGCTGGGCCGACGGCTGCCTGAGCCGTTCTCCGTGGGCACCATCAGCTTGTTGCCCCCGCCGCCCCCACCACTCTGCGAGGGACGGCACTCTGTGTTCTGTAAGTCCATGGCCACTGTCCCTGGAGAGAGTGACTGAGCTAGGCTGGTGGCCCCTTCCCACCCTGCTGTTAAGGCTGAGGACACAGCCAGCCTCAGAGACCCTGGCTCACATCCTGGCCCCTGTCCTACAGCTGCGTGGCCTTGGGAGTCTTGGCACCCTCTAACCCTTGGTTTCCCCCTTTGGACAAGCAGGACGGGGCCTCTGGGTATGGTAGCCCCAGAGCCCTCCACCTCTCAGTGGCACCACCCAGTCAGTTGCTGTAGTCTCATTACTGATGGCCTGAGGGTGGGGGCTCTTGGGAGCTCAGGAGCCTGGCAGCTGGCCATTCTGCTCTGAGGACCAGCCCAGGTGGGGATGGCCCTGCTGAGGATCAGAGGGGAGCTGCAGGACTGCCAGGTGGGGATGGAGGATTGGGCCCCGGGTGCAGGGCTGCACAAGTCATCACGGCTTCCTGGGAGCCACCAGGGAATGACACACACACTCCAGGGGAGGTGAGGCTGGGCAGCAGCAGACCCTCAGCAGGCCTGGCCTCAAGGGCACACTGCCACCATCAGGAAGTATAACCTCCAGGTCTGGCTGCCAGCCCACGACATGCCATGGAGAATGTGTGCCACACTGACCCAAAGCACAAAGTTAGGACCGTATGCCAACACTCCAGTAGGCACATACCAGTAGGGTATGCAGCAGGCACTCAACAGTGTCAGCGTGTCGCCCGAGTCATTCTCAGGCCATCCTGTAGGAGAATGCAGTGCCCTGGCCGAGTCTAGGGGGCTGTGGCCTGGGTGGCTCCCTGGCCTATCCCTGCTCCCCAGTCTCCTGGGTGGGCCTGGCTGCGGAGGGCCTACACCCACCTCAGGTATCCTCAAGCCCTGGGCCCACACCCGCGGGAGACAGCTGGACCTGGCCCCAGGCTCATGGAAGTTCCAGGGTACCTGAAGGCCAAAGGCCTTGCTAGTTTCAACACTGTCCAGCTGGCTCCCAGCCCCAGAGGACACTGGGGCCTTGGCCTATTCAAGGGCCACGTGTGAAGGAAACCTTCTGGGCTGATGGGACTGCCAGGGACCAGGATGGCCGGCTGGCCTGCACCCCAGAGACCCTGACCAAGGCGGCCCACAGGGTGGGTGCTCAGACACCCTGCTCATTGCTGACAGGCCCTCACAGGTGGGGACACCTCCATTTGACGAATTCAAACACTGAAACCCAGACAGACTCACCTTGCCCAAGGTCAGTGCAGGCCAAGGAAGAGCCAGGCCTGGGGGCTTACCCATGGAGGCGATGATGCTGTGCACCGGCAGGCGGGAGGGCCCCTCGTAGAGCCCCTGCCCCTTCTTCTGCTTCTCCTCCTGCTTGAAGATGAAGGCCGAGTTCTCCTCCTTGGTGATGTTGATGTAGAAGCAGGTGTCGGAGGCGGCCAGGATGTGCCGCGGCCCTGGGTTCAGCAGGATGCTCTTGTCGTCCTCTCGCTTCAGCCCGATGAGGCACACGCCGTACCTGGGCACAGGGGCTGCGGCTCCACGGGCTGCCCCGCCCCGGCCGGCGCCTCCCCCTGCTCCTCCTGGGGGTCACCTGACTGCAACTGCCTCCTGCGCTCCTGCCCAGCCTTCCTTGGGAAACCCACTTGGGGTCAGGGTCCTCCACCAAACCCTCCCTTCGTGGGTCAGGGAACCAGTGACCCTGGGGTCAGCCTTATGAGAGCCTAATGAGCAATCTGGAGGCCTCGGCTGGCTGTCCTTGTCAGGCGGCTGTGGCCAGGGTGCCCCAGCTCTGGGTCTCCCAGGCCCCCTGCCCCAGGGTCCCGCCCACCGGCCCTGGGCCCAGGTGTTGAAGGGGGGCGCGTACTTCTTGTGGGCGTGGAAAGCCGCGTAGGTGAAGCTCTTGCCCTCGTACTCGCGGAAGAACTTGCTGTCGCCCATGCGGATATGGTAGACTTCGTTGCCGGAGCAGCGTCCGTACATGCGCTGCCACTGCTCCGGTGACTCCTGTCCTTCCCTGCCGGCCACAGCAGGGCAAGAGACCATCACCCTCGGCTAGGGCTGCCCTCCCGCTCAGCGGGGTCAGCATTCCCTGGGGCAGGCCCCTCCCCCAGACTTGTGAGGCATCCACCCTTCCCCAGGAAGCCCGCCCTCAGAGTAGCCCCGCCCCAGGAGATCCCCGCCCACAAGAAGCCACACCCCTGTGGGGCTCCGCCCACAAGGAGCACCGCTCACAGGGAGCCCCACCCCACAGGGCCCTGCCTGGTGTCCCTGGGCCAGCTGGGGCCTGGCGGTAGGCCCTGCGGGGCACTCACTGGCCGCGGGACGTGTGCACCAGCAGGGTGATGAGGGTGGAGGTGGCTGGGCAGATGCAGTTCAGGGCCAGCATGGCGTACTTGCACTCTTCCTCGCACACCACGTGGTCTGCAGGGCAGCAGACAGGGTCCACTGTTCCTGAACTTGCTGCAGGAGCCCTGGCTGGGCCCCTAGACCCGACTGCACCGCAGACCCCTGTTCAGCTCTGATTCCAGCCCCTCCCCAGAGCCTCTGCAAGCCCAGAACCGGAGCCTTGATGGAGGCTCTGCTTTGTGTCTCTCCTGTTCTGCCCAGAGCTCCAGGGCTGGGTGTGGCCCTCGCCTGTCCCCTGGGGTGCCCATCTAGGCCCCTCACCTGTCCCCAGGGATTCCGGCAGGGTCCTGCTCACGGTGCACTCATCAGAGGGTGATGCTCCCAACCCCTGCTCCTGCCCTCCCTGACCCTGCACCCCAGCTGGATCATCTGAGAAAGCTGGACCGCTATGGGCGCCCCTCCTGGGTTGTGAGGAAGGAGGGCTGCTGCCCTGCCGCACCTCCTTGCTCCTGTGGTGGCTCCAGCCCCCGCCCTCCCAGCTGCGCACTGGAGGCCCCAGACGCACCAGCAAACTTAACGTGAAACTTGTTCTCAGGCTTGAGGATCTGGACGTAGAGAGGGCAGTTGGGGGCGAAGTCCTTAACGGCCCAGGCCCTCAGAATGGTCTGGTGGTCCTGGGGGGGGGGGTGTTCAGTGTTGGAGTGTCCCTGCAGTGAGGGGGTGGGCAGCTACCGGCTGGAGGAGCTCCCCCCCCCCCGCCTGCCTTGGCCTCGGCCTCACTCACTGCGGCTGTGCGGTCCACCTCGTTCCTGCTGCTCAGGATGAAGCAGGCCTCCCCATTGTCCATCCTGCAAAGTGCCAACCGCTAGTGTGGCCAGAGGTCGGCAGACCCCTGCTCAGGTGGTCAGCCTGGTCCCAGCAGTGCCTCCAGTCCTGGGCCTCCTCACCTCCCTGGCCTCTCCCCAGCACATCCTGGGCCTGGTCAGGATTTCTGGACACCCTCAGGAGGGTTCAAGCTTGGACACTGGACATGTCTCAGAAGCCAGATGGCATGTTTGGAGACACCAGTGTACCAGCCGGGGCACCTGGCTCTTCCAGGACATGGCCTGATGGGGCAATGGAGAGCTCTGGCCTCAGCTCCAGCTGTCAGGGGCTGGAAGGGGGTCCCCACTGAGACCCCACTTCACTGTGTGCTAGCAACCTGGGCCCTGGCCCAGCTGACCTGACCCAGGGTATTCAGCATCTGCAGCCCATCCCCGTGCCCCATCAACCAGGGACGGACTGGGCTGCAGAACAGAAACACTTGGGGGCAGGGACCCATCTCCTTCTCTTGGCCACACTGTGGTCCTGTATGACCATATCCAACCCCTGGTTCCCAAGGGCTCAGCTGCAGAAATAACCTAGCTGGCCTGAGATCCAGTGGACACACTGTCCTCTCCCACCCCAAAGCAGCAGAACACTGTGCCTCCTAAAACCTCTGCTGCCCCCTGCCTCCCTGGCTCCTCCCTATTTGCCCAGACACAGACATGTGTGAGGTATGGATGGGACACAAGGGGCTGTGGCCATCAGGGCCCTACCTCAGGGTACAGGGCTTGAGGGATGAGTGACCCTGGGCCAGGTGTCCTGCTTGCCCTCAGCCCTGTAGGCCCCACAGATGGACATGGGAGACTTCTGGAATGGGAAGGTGGCAGGAGGGGCTTTGGAGAGAATCCCAGGAAGTGCACTAGCACATTAAGGAAAGTTCCATGGCATGCCACATTTGTGTCACCTCAAGTCACTCTGCCAACTTATCTTTAAAGCAAGATCCACCCTCAGCCCTCGTGATTTTCCCCACTGACTCCATCAGCCAGCTCCTCCGCCCCTGGTCTATTTTGAGCTCCTAGAACTTGACGTAGAGAATCCCCAGACTCCAAGTGGGGAGAATGGGGGCTCCCAACGTTGGGTCTGCCCAGGAGGCCTGAGGTGGGCTTGCTGTGCCCAGCGTGGGCAGGGTCCTGCTCACCTGGGTCAGGTGGTGGGCACTGAGCCAGAGCTGCCAAACACCCCATACCCATTCTGCTGCTCCAGCTGCCAACCCACCTACCCAGTGGCTCCCACACCCGCTGTGCCCACCCTGGCTGACACTCACTTGGCCCGCATGAGGTCTTGGTCCTTGAGGGCAGAGCCCTGGAGGTAGATGACCCGCTGAGACCACAAGGGGATCTGCAGAACCCTGCGTACCTGGACGTCCATTTCAGTGGGGCAAAGGATGACCACGTAGTAGTCCTGCTGGCCAGGCCGTGGGTCAGAGCCTCTGGGCAGGCTTCTGCCACTGCCAGCCCACCTGCTTTCCCGGGTGCTGTCTCACCCAGCACTTCACAGGACCCCGCAGAACTCCCAGAGTGTGGGATGCCACCCTCTAGACAGGGAAACTGAGGGCTAGTCCTCAGGGGACGTGCTTGGGCTCAGGCAGTCCTGGAAAGGGGTGGCTGCTCTGGGGGCAGGAGGATCCCGAGGCCTGGGGGCCTCACCTGGAGCCGGGGGTGGGCGTAGAACTCATTCAGGAAGTCCATGAGGAGGTCGATCTTGAGGGAGCTGACACACAGCACCACGTGCTTCTCCGTCTGTGCGCGGTGGCGGCTGTAGTTGCCCCCAGACTTCTGCCGCTCCATCCAGAGATAGACGAGCTCTTCAAACTGTGCGGGAGAGCAGTGGGCACTGGCTCAGCATGGGCAGTGAGGGGCAGGGCGGGCAGGGGTGGGGCTGGGGTTGGACCTTTCCCATTTGGCAGGGGCAGGCCCTGAGCCCAGGGCCACAGCACAGAGCAGGACCAGGTGGCTGACAGGGTGTGCAGGGAGCAGACAGCCTGAGCAGAGGTCAGTGCAGGACCAGAGGACCAGAGGTCAATGTGGCCCAGGACAGAGCCACATTGGAAATGGCCACTGTCTTGGCACGGCCACCTGAGGAGGGGGAGTGAGCATCCCCACTTGCCCGTGCCTGGGGCAGCCTGAGATGCGAGCTCAGCTCCAGACCCCAGAGGCCGAGTGGCTGCCAAAGCCTGAGCTGTGGACGGTCAAGGCGTCAGCAGACCTGCGGCTCTTCCCATCAGCCCCTGAGACTTATTGTGGGGAAAACTGACAGTGCCGGCAAATTCTCGGCCCACGGAGTTAGGAAGTAAGTGCTCTCCTGACAGCTGCGGTGAACACATCGGGTGTGGGGTCAGTCCTCAGGCTGGGACCGCCTTGGGCAGGGTGGTGTGAGTCGAGCTGCAGCCTGAAGGCACCCCAGGTTCACCCCAGTGCCAGCCACTTGGCGCTGTCCAGGGTGCTGACCCTGCTGGCTTCACACTTCTCTGAGTGAAGGATGGTGGCAGCCCCCCTTGACAGCCGGCCTGCTCAGGGAACGTGACTACCTTGCCCGAGATCAAGTCACTGAATGAACAGGGCTCTTGCTCAGTCCCAGTGACAAGACCCAATGGCCTTGAGGCACTGAACTGGCTCCACAACCAGGAGGTGCCCAAGACCCAGCGTGGTCCCAACAGAGACGCCTCCCAGCAGGTGGCATGGGCTGGGCTCTGCTGGCGGTCACCATGGGCCTGTGTCCCACCTCCCGCAGGCTGTTTCCTTGTCTGCCACGGATCAGAGCAGCACTTGCCTCCCAGGGAGGCCGTGAGGATGAAGCCGGCTGATGACCAGGTTTGACAGTGAACCCAACGTGCGTCCACCTGAACCTCAGGACATGACCCAATTTGAATACAGTCTTTGTGATATAATTTGTTGAAATGAGGTCATCGTGGATTTGGGTGACCCTGAGTCCAACACTGCTGTCCTCAGGAGAGGAAGACCCAGAGAAGAGGCCTGGATCAGGGCAGAGGCTCCTGGATGGCCACAAGGGCACCAGGCCTGTGGGGGCCTCGGGCAGCAGGGCACCAGTCCCGCCCACACCTACGTGCAGATCCGCTTCCAGGACAGTGACTTCCTGTTGTCCAGCTGTCTGTCCGGCGGTTTGCTGTGGTGCCCATGAGCCTGACACTGATGCCCGACAACACGGGACCTGAGCCTGCAGAGCAGCTCCGGCACACGACAGCTGTCCCTAAGCTCTGGAGGGAGGCTTGTGATTGCCACCAGCAGCACCACCGCCCCTCCCCAGGGCCTCCACCAGCAAGTCCTGTTCCAAAGGCACCAGGACCACCCTGTCCACTAACAGGACCCCTAGCCTTCCCAGGGGCAGCAGGAGCGGGCAGGAGGCTGGGCGGATGGCGAGGTCAGCAGCACTGTGGTCCTGGCCACCCTTAGCCCTGTGAGGAGCAGGGCATCCTGCTACCCAGTCTGGGGCCTGAATCCATCCTCCCTGCAGCCACAGGAGCAGCCTGCTGACCCCTTGGTTTGGACTGTGGCCTCCAGAACTGTGGAGCAGGCTTGTTGTTTTAAGCCTGTGGTGTGGCCATCTGTTGGAGCAGACCTGGAGACCCCAGGGTCTGGCCTGTCCATGGCAGCTCTGGCCTCTGTGAGGCTCAGGTGGGCTGGGGGTACAGCCCAGTGGTGGAGGGCTTGCCCTGGTTCCATCCCTGGTACCCCTGCCTCCCAGAAAAGAAGGCTCCGGGTGACTTCACAGCAGGGACATTTACAGGGAAGAAGCATCGCTAAGCCCGCTCTTGGCACTCGAGGACAAGGAAGGGAGGACACCTGCCCACACCAGAAGCCGGGGTGGCCCTAGGGCCGGCTTGGAGTGCTTCACCAAGGTCGGCCCAGTGGGGCAGCCGCCCCTTCTCCAGCGGCACACTGTCTCGGGCCTGGCCGGCAGGGGCTGGGCTCCAAGGCAGCAGGGCTGCGCGGGAAGCCACCAGTGCTCCCTATTCAGGGACCATATTTTCTTCCATGTGAACCAGTGACCAGTGACCTCTGTGAGCTCCCTGGAGACACTCCCTACGCTGGCCGTGAGAGCTAGGGACACGTTAGAGCTGGCAGAGGCGGCGTGGGTCTGCAGGAGCGATCCAAGCCCATCCCACGGGTCCTGGCAGAGACCCCAGACCAGGGCGGGGCGGCAGGCCTCATGGATCAAACTAGAAATCTTACAAGGAGGAGCAGTGAGCCCAGGGGCTGTGGGCAGGGTGGGGCGCCCTCCAGGAGACGGCCGTCCAGGTGCGTGGTGTGGGGGGAGGAGCCTGGGGATTGGCTGGCACAGGCCTGCCCTGCTCCCGCGGCAGCAAGACGCAACCTGCACTCTCAGAAGGAAGTATCCATGACTGAGGAGGGAAGTGGTCTTTTCAGACAAGAAAGGGAAACAGAAGCCATAAAAGAAAGTTCAGGACATTTGACCACAGAAGAATCCAGACGGTCAGTACGAGGGGGGAGCTCCCAACCAAGAGAGGGCAGAGCTCATGGACAGCAGGGCTCTGTGCCTCCAGAGGGCAGGCCAGGGGGTCTGCAGGGCAGCAGAGCCCCCTGTGGAAAGTGCAGGGTCAGCAGAAACCCAAGCGGTCAATGAGCAGATGAAGAGAGGCCACCTCAGTGGACCATAAAATGGCTACAGCTTAGAATGCAGCCTATGCCCTGCATCGTCCCAGATGGAGGGCGGGAGGACCCAGCACTGCCTGGCCAGTAGGGACTCTGCCTCAGACGCCTGGAGGGGAAGAGTCACATGCCCAGGCTGCTGTAAGGGGCCTGGTGTTAGGTGTCCCCAGCACATAGTCGGCCTTCCTCGTAGCCCACTGGGAAAAGCAGAGGGCTTCTGGCTGGGGATGGGGGCTCAGAACCGCCAGCAGAGAGTGGGCCAGGCCTGAGGGTCAAGCTCAGGGTCAGCAGAGGCCCTTCCAGGTGCCCCTCACGGTCCTGACCACTGCTGCCATGCAGGACTGTGGGTAGCCAACAGGTGACTGTCCACACTGACTGTCCACCTCTGCCTCTGTACTGGTCCCAGGGGGGTCACCCTAGCACCAAGAGATCCCCTGTCTTCCCAGAAGGAAGAGCCCGCTCGGCTGCCCTGCGGCTCACCACCACGCTCCACAGGAGGCCCTGGCCAGGCCTGCCCTCCGCAGGTGTCACCCGCCCTGGCCTTGTGGCCCTCCAAGTTGACCACCCTGGTGCCCGTGCCACAGCCCCGCGTCCCTGAGGCTGGGGACCAACCTGCAGTGGGAGCACCACCAGTGCCACGCCAATCATGATGACCACCAGGAACTGGGACGGCCAGATCTTGGGCGTCACATCGCCGTAGCCCACCGTGGAGAAGGTGACGATGCAGAAGTAGAAGGAGGTGAGCAGGTTCAGGTTCTCGCCAGCTCGCTCCAGGTGCTGGATGCCACAGGTCCTGGTGGACGGGCGCTGCTGGGCCACCAAGGGCTGGGCTCCAGCCTGGGTACCCTGGGCTCTGGTGGACCCCGTCTCCTGCTGCTGAGTCTGAGTCTCAGTCTGGGGCACAGCTCAGCACTCTTGGGCTCCCAGACCACCCATCTGTCCCCAGCCCTGCTGAAGCGTCTCCCAGCCTGCCACGGGTGGGCACTCTTGATCCCTCTAGGCCCTGGATGGCCCCTGAACCAGCCCTGGCATCACCTTGGTTCAAATCTGACCCCCTTCCTGCCCAACAGCTCTTCCCAGGCCCAGGAGCCCACAGGGAGCAGGAGTGTGGAGCTGGGGCCTCCTGTGTGGACTGGGGCTGGGTAGGACCCTCGACATGAGGGGTTGCTTCCTAGGCCCTTCCCTGCACAGAGCTGGACACCTCCTTCCTATGCTCAACTGAGGGTCGATTGGGCAGGGCCTGGGGTCACTCCCTGGTCCCACGATGTTGACACAGCCGGTGCTCAGGGCCCCTGGGGTGGACAGCTGGGTGACACGGGGCTGCTGGGAGGAGACTCACCCTGAGTCACCCTAGACTCTGTAGCCTTGGACATCTGTTCCAGATCCTCTGAGGTCTGTGTGTTGTGGGTGGGGTGCGGGGGAGGGAGGGCAGAGAGCACAGGGCACCCTCTGCCCAGGGCCTGGGGGATAGGAAGTGGTAACAGGGCCGCTCCAGGATCCATAACAGGGTCAGAGCATAGGTGGGTGCAGGAGGTCAGCAAATCTACCCAAGTGGCTGGAGGCTCAGTTCCAGGAGAACCTCCAAGCCCCTGCCCTGGCCTGGCCTCTGCTCTCAGGGTGGCCTCAGGCCAAAGGCCCCATCCCACTTGAGGGCTAGTCCCAGCTTCAGAGCCCAAGGCATGGACCAGGAAGCCGGATCCCAGAGTCCTGGGCCTTGGGGGAGCTGGACTTAGGGGTTTGCTCATGGGGACATGGGCTCAGGGCTACTCCTGGACCTCCGTGCCAGCCAGCTAAGCCACCCCCTGCCCAGCCAGCTCTGTCTCCTGCCCCAGACCTTGACCCCAGAGCCTGGCTCTGTGCCCTGAGCTGTCACTGCCTCTCTGCCCAGGAGCACACTGTCCCCGGCTGTTGGGTGGCCCTCAATGCCCAAGGCTCACCCCGTGAACACGAGGCACAGCAGGGTGCAGAAGAGGATCAGGACCTGGTTGAACATGGCCGACTGGGTCCTCAGGATGGCACGGTGGAAGTCGTTCTGTGGAGGATGTGGCCTTCAGTGGTCAAGGCTCGGTCCCCCGCCAGAGCAGATAAGCAAGAAGCAGGCTGCAAAGCCAGTGGCCTGGCCACACCTCCCCTGGGCGAGGGCCACAGGGCAGCCTGGACTTGGGCAGGCCACTGACCTCGCTTCCTCTCTCAGGAGCACCCCCGCCCCCCTGTGCCCCGGGAGGGCTGAGGCCTGTAGGAGGCTCGATGGACCGGGCATTTCAACTTCACTGTACCATTAAGTCAGACCTGGGGTTGTGAGTCTGGGGGCCTGGCGGCGGGGGCAGGCCTGGGGGCACAGAGGCTGACCTCCCTAGATCTCAGCAGGCTGCCTGCAGCCCAGTTTTCTCGTGGGCCCAGAGCTCATGGTCTTGGTTCTCACAGTCTTGGTTCCCGTGTTCCCTGTGCCCGTGACCCAGGATTGGTGGCTGGTCTCCCGTAGGCCTGCTTGCTACTGCCCATGGCTCCATCTCCTCCCCAGCCCTTTCCCAGGTCAGGAGAAGCTCTCTTCCCAGACATTGACTGGGGCAGGTCACCGTGACAGACGTTCCTGTTGGTCACATGGCCTCCTGGCTGGCAGCCTGGTGGCCCTGGGGCTGGGTATGGCAAGTTGCCTCTGCAGGTGGGCAGGGGTCTGGCTCTTGCTTACGATCATATTCTCCAGTGCGTGCTTGGCCAGCCAGCAGTTGAGGAACACCGGGATGAACAGGTTCCGCAGCGGTGGCCAGAAGATCTGTGGGGAGACAGTGGGGCTGGGGAGGGAGAGGGCAGGACTGGAGGCCCCTGGGGTGGTGGGTGGGAGCTGGGGAGGCCCCTGGGGGAGGTGGGTGGGAGCTGGGGAGGCCCCTGGGGGAGGTGGGTGGGAGCTGGGGAGGCCCCTGGGGGAGGTGGGTGGGGGCTGGGGAGGCCCCTGGGTGAGGGGTGGGGTTGGGGCTCACCCACCGTGATGATGAAGGGCAGTGTGTTGACCATCTCTAGGATGAAGGACACTCGGATGATCTGCTCCCAGATGTTGCCCTGGGGGTCAAAGGGGGCTTCAGAGCTGGTGCAGGGAGGACAGAGGACAGGGACCGTGCAAAGGCAGCCTGGGAGGTCAGGGAGTGGTGCTGGGGGCAGGAGTGAGGAGGAGGCAGGATGGTGGGGACCTACTTTGTAGCTGAGGTAGATGAGGAGCATGGTCTCCAGGAAGCTTATTGTGGCCACGATGACCTAAGAGGAGAGAGGGACAAGGAGCAGACCTGGGTCTGGGGTCTGAGGCAGGGCCAGGCCACGTGGGTCTCTGGGCGAGCCCCCTTTGTGTGTACGTGCGCACAAGGCTATGGGCTTTGGACAGGTTCCTGACCAGGGGGCAGCCTGAGGGGCAGGGACCATGGAGAGCAGTCATGCTGCTGCCCCAGGAGGTGGAGGTGGGCCATGAGGGCCACGTGGGGGGCTCTGAGATGGTGGGACAGGGCAGGGCTTGCTGGCACTCTGCCAGGGAGGGGCTGGGCTGGGTGGAGCCTCCTCCAGACACAGCCTCTCTGAGCCTGTGAAGTGGGGCCTGAGGCCCTCTCTGGGGGAGGCCAAGCATCCAGTCATGAGCCAGTGCCACCACCCAGAGACCTGAGCAGTGGCAGGGCTGGGGAGACCCCCCCAAGAGCTGGCCTGGGCCACCTACCCTCACTTGCATCCCCTAGGGAGACAGCAAGCTTGAGGGGTCAGCAGGAGGGAGCGGTTCCCACAAGAAACGGAGGGGGGTGCGCCCCAGCAGTCCTTGGGTGTGTCCTAAGTGCTCCCTGAGCCCAGCTCCATTCTGGAGCCCATCAGGCCTGGGTCCCCTGCTCACTGGGCCTGGGTGTGTCCTAAGTGCTCCCCAAGCCCGGCTCCTGTAACGGCTGTCCTCTACTGTGGGGAGAGGAGCAGGTGGGGCACTCTCACCTGAATCGCCCACAGAGCCATCTTCCTCTCCACCCACAGGATTGGGGCCCTGGGGAGAGAAGGGAGATGAGCCTCGGGCAGGGTGCAGCACACAGGGGCCACAGCCATCAGTGTCCCCCTTGCCCCTGGGCCCAGCCCAGACAGGCTCAGGAAGAACATCTCAGAGGCAGTGGGGGCCACACAGCCAGAGGCAGAGACTAGCTGGGGGACCACGTTGTCCCCCTCTGAAGGGGACATCCCAGCACTGATCCCAGCCAGGGTCTAGAGGGCAGCTGAATGTGTCTACAGGGACCCTGGGCAGCATTCAGGCTGAGGCTGGCCATTGCCCTCAGAGGCTAGGCAGTGTGGACTCCATCCACACTCACCACGTGCACCCCATGTCCCCTGACCCTGGCAAACAGGAGCAGCAGGAACTCACCAGTTGATCTCAGAGGAGGAGCCATTGAAGGTGTACTTCTGCTTCACACAGCCCCAGCTGCGGATAGACAGAGAGCTGGCCTGGCCACGGGCCCTCCGGGCCAACCCCAAGGCCCTCCTAGGGCTGCCATGGGCTCAGGGTACATGGGAAGGGGACCCAGCCCCATGTACTGAGGGGTGCCAGAGCTCTAGAATTTTGGCAGAGACCCTGCAGGGATGACGGGTGGTCTCTGCTGGACAGACCACACCCTCACCTGGGATCTGGGCTGACAGTGAGACTCCGGCAGGAGATAGCCAGGGACTCTGCATTGTCACACACTCCCTGGAAGGTCCCACACAGCCAGAGGCAGAACCAGGGGGCCCTCCAGGCCTCCTGAGGCCAAGCCGCCTCAAATAAGGCTGGATGAGGCTCAGTGGGGACAAGGCTCCTGCCCCAAGGGGCTGGCGCAGCAGTGCAGGGCCCTAAGCCACTCTGGAGGACAAGTGTGTCCCAGCCACCTGGGATCAGCTGGCTGGCGGGTGGCAGGGCACAGTTGGCTGGCAGGGCACAGCTTGCATGCCAGTTCGCTGCTTCTGAGCCTATGAGAGGGGACCCCCGCCTCTTTCCTGACCTACTTCCCTCCAGAAACTCACCAGGGTGGATGCAGACTCAAGGCCATCCATTGTCCACCACTCCCCTACCTCCGGCCCTCTCTCCCAACATCTGCCCGCCTGTCTCTCGTCAGCATCCATCCCTTTATCCACCCACTCACGTTCTCACCTGGGATCCACCCGGGCGTCTGCCCCAGCCACCCTCTTACCTCTGTCCACCCACCCACCTTCCATCTATCCAGCCATCTACCCCGCCATCATCTGCCCATCCATCCAGACATCAACCCATGACCTCCTCACCGTCTGTCTGCCTGCCCACCACCCACTCACCCTTCTCCCACCACCACCCACGTGCCAGGCGCTGTGCTAGGGATGGGTGATGAACACCACACACTGGGCCCTCTGGGGAAGGGGACCAGAGGCCCAGGAGCTTCCAGGACTTGGAGAAGGTGAGGTGGACCCAGAAAGGTGGTTGAGAGTCAGTCAGAACCCCTGTTGCTCCACCTCAACTGCTGTGGTGGGTTCTGCCCGCCCCCCTGCCCGGACAACCACAGGGGTTTGTTCTCAGCTATGGGTGAGGGTCTCTGGCCTGGGGATGCCAACTCCTATTAAATAGTGGGTGACAGATGAAAAGGAAGGTGAAGAGCAGATCTGTACACAGACGGCCTCCAGGGCCGGCTCCTTCCCGGCTCAGCTTCCAAGACCCCAGCAGTTAGGGACACCTACACTGAGGAGCCTGAGAGGACCCAGAGCCAGTGACCAAGGGGAGGCGGTCTCCAAGGACATTATTCAAGACAATCCGGCACTGAGGGCTGCTGGGCCAACCCAGAAATGAGACAGAGCCTGACCCAAGCATCCCTAAGCAGAGACCCAGCAGCTTCCAGGGAAGAAAATGACGCGCCCCACAAGGATCGGGGCTGGGACTCAGCAGCAGGGGGGAGCAGGAGGACCACACAGAAACTTCCAGAGAAGTTCCCCCCATTCCTCGAAAGGCTCCTGCAGTCTGCAGGTGACTCTTCCTCAACATGGCCAGAATACGCCTGCCCTGACAGTGAAGGAGTGACCCAGGAAGAGGACGCCGTGGGCCAGAAGGGTCAGGTGGAGCCTCAGAGAGGGGCCAAAGCCCTAGCCAGTTTGCATACTGCTGCAGGGGGCTCCCCCAGAGGCTGGGACTCTCCTGGAGTGAGCGTGAAGACCCCCTCTCATGCAGGGGGCACCTGGACCTTCTGGGTCTACGGGCAGCCACACATGCAGCTCCAGCATGGGCTCCCCTCTCTGAGCTTGGGCAGCGTACTGGGCATGGCTTTGACTGGGCACGGGGCTTCCTAGAGGCCAGGCGGGGTGCTGGGTGCAGTCCCCCCAGGGCCCAGGCAGTCAGGTCCAGCCCAGGGCCCAGGACCCCTTCTTCCTCCAGCCCCACGGGTCACACCCACCATCCGATGCCCAGGGCCGGGTTGTCCAGCAGGACCCGGATGATGTAGAGCAGGCAGGTGAGGAGCTTCAGGGAGAAGTTGAACAGCCGGATCCTCAGGCCTGGGGGAGGCAGACGTCAGGAAGGCCCGCAGCCCCCTCCAATAGCTCCACCCCGGAGGCCCCACCCGGGCCCCTTCAGGAGGCACCATGTGCCCACTGCACAGAAGTGGAGTCAGGACCCAGGGGGCATCCTGAGGCTGCCCCTCCGTGGCTGGGGGGGCCTGGAGCCCACACACATAAACTCCGAGCCCCTCTCTGACTCCCTGGGAGGTCCAGGATGGCCAGTCTTGAAGCTGGGAAGGAGTCAGCAGGGGCCTGCATGGAGGAGGCCTAGCCCAGCCCCATCTGGTGTCCAGCAGATGGGGCAGTGTCCCCACAAATCCCACACGGCTCCCAAGAGATGTGCGACTCTTAGGCAGAGGGAATGCCCCCAGCGCCCACTGCTCAACGACACAGCCCCAGCCACACTGGCTTCCTCTGGGGCCCCTCCCCTCCTGCCTGGGAGCGCCCAGCCCCCACTCACTGGATCTTTGGTTTTTGATGAAGAACAGTTTGAGCCGCTCCTTGAATGTGTTCTCATTCACGTAGAACTCCACCTGGACCCTGGGGCAGGAGAGGGGACGGGTGGCAGCCAGCGGGAGCCTGGCAGAGAGGCAGCCCCAAGCCCCACTGACTTGTCCCCAGCTGCAGGACTGAGAGGCATGCCCACCTTGGACCCAGGAAGCCACCTATCACAGCCTTCCCTGTGCCTCCCCCAGCACACAAGGGCCACAAGCCACTGCCTGCTCAGCGTCCAGGGCCCGTGGGCCCCAAGGAGGCTCAGGCTATGGCACCCACTGGGCTTTGGGCACACAGAGCTCAAAACACACCCCAGGACCTATACGGAGTACCCAGAAGCTGACGGCCATTCATGATCTGGTGGCCTCTGGTGGCTGGGTTCTAAGACCACCGCTCAAAGTAGCGTGAAACTCAGGCAGTCGGGCCAGGAGGGCTGACAGGCAGCAGTCAGGCCTGAGCTGTCCTGCAGGCCAGCAGCAAAACCCCCTAGCACAGGCCCCTTGCCTTGGGCTCCCCTGCAGCCCCTGGCCATTGGTCCCCAGGCCCCCGTCACTTACACACATGACTGTCTATGGGCCCGTCTCCAAGCCCTCTGCCCAGCATGGGCTCTCTACAGTCCTGAGAACAGACCACAGTGGACCCAGTGGGAGTGGCCTGAGGGTGCCAGAGGGTGCTAGCACATGGCCCACCCACTGCTGGCCCCATCTGGTCTCTGGGAGTAACATGGAGTCTGATGCGACAGCTACTGCCCGGCTCTCTGTGCCCAGCTCTGCTGGAGTTCGCGCCCTGTTGGGGCTCCATGTCCCACCGAGGTGAACCGCCAACAGTCACTCCAAGGATGACGAGCCGGGCTTCCTGCAGCTGGGGTGGGGATGGCCTGTCCCCCAGCGGCCATGCCCCTGTGGTGCTGGGCACCGACCTCCCTCAGCATGACCTTGGGCGTCCTCCATCACAGGCTGAGTCCCTCTCTGCTCCAGAGCAGGGTCAGGTGGGGCGACTGCGTGTGGGTGGGATGATGGTGTATGTGGGGCACACAGTCCCCACCTCGGCACAGAGCAGGGTCACGACCTGGGAGGGCAGCGGGGCGGAGGGCCCACGGGCAGAGTCCTGCTGCGTGGAGGAGGTCACCAGCAGCCCCAGTGGAGGCGAGGCCAGTGCAGGCCCAGGTCCCTGTGCCCACCTCTCCCCACTCCCCATCATCAACCATGGGCAGGGGCCTCTCCCGGTGGCTGGACCATGAAAGCTCTCCTCTGAATGGGTGTGGGCTCTGTGGAGGCAGCTGGAGAGTCTGAAGTCACGGCCTGGCCCGGGCATGCTGCCCCCACGTCCTGAGAGGCGTTTGAGACGGGCGAAAGGACGGGGGCTGAAACCCACTATGGTATTCAGAGGTGGGCCTTGGGACGCGGTCAGCAGCCTGGAGCCCAGGAGGGAGTCCTGGTGGCCTCACAGGAGGAAGAGGCAGACAGCGGGAGACAGACACGTGGGTGCACCCGCGCCAGGCCTTGCTCTGACTGCAGGCTCTGCCAGCAAGAAGCTATCACCAGATGCGGCCCCAGGACCATGGAGCAGACCATGAGCCAAATAAGCCCCTTTCCTTTACTATGCATCAGTCTGCAGTCCGTTGCTGGCAACAGAGACCGACTGCACCCTCCCGATGTGGACCTGACCCTGCTCGATCTGACCTCCTCCCCTCCCCCAGATGGGCTGGGACCCAGGTACTTTCTACCTCCTCCAAAGCTGTCCCCCCACCCTCCGTGCAGCCGAGAGCCCCCAGCTCCCGGTCTACCCTGTGCCGTCTGCCTGGTCTCACTGGACAGCTGGACACCATTTCATGGGACATTACTGCTTGTCCACCTGCCCTGCCTGCTTCCCTAAGGCTCACCTCTGACCTCCCACCATCAGGCCCAAGAGGCCCACCCAGCCTGCCCTCCTTGGGTGGACGCCTTGCCCACCACAGCTCAGGGGTCCTCTAAGCTCTGGGCACCCCAACCCCACTCTTGGCTCCCTGTCTTCTGCCCTCCAGGCTCTTTCTCTGCCTCTCTGGCGTGTCCTGGCCCCTGGGGCTGGCTCTGCTCCGGCTTCTGCCTTCAGCTCCCCCAGGTTCTGAGCTCCCCAAACGCAGCTGCCTACAAAGACCACAAAGCCACTGCTCCGTCCCACAGTCAGGGAATGGAGAAGCCCACCCGTGCTCGTGCTGGCCTGCCTGCGGCTTCCAGGCAGCAGTGTCCCTGCTTGGGCACCGGTGGGGGGGTCAGGCCTGCTGACCATAGCTGGTCACACCCTGGCCTCTGGTTCCAATACCCCATGAATAGAACACAGGGCCACCCCTCAGGGGGTGAGTGCCCGGTCAGCTGTGGACATCCGTCTAGGCAGCCCCCAGGGCTCTGGGTGGGCAGCACCCACCTATGGGGGAAAGGGGTTCTCCATGAGGAGCCAGAGAAACCCTTGGGACCTGGCAGCAGAATTGGAGCCCTGCAATGCCAGAGAAATTAATGATGCTTGGCTTTTGATTTGTGATGAGCTGTGGCTGCCACTCCTGACCCCACCACAAACAGTAGACCCTCCAAGGGCCAGGGGCAGCCCTGGGGAGGGAGCCTGGCTGGGGTTGTGGGCCACCTCCTCCTACAACGGGCACTCGCTGGCTTGTTCTGAGCTCCTGGGGTCACAGCCTGCAGTCGGGGGCCCAGGCTGCTGGAAAGCCAGACCTGGCCACTCCTCACCTGCCCTCCTGGCTTCCTCTCCTCCTCCCCAGAGAGTGGGAACAATGGCAGGAACTGCCTCCCACACTGTGCGAGGGCGCCTGGCAGCCAAGGTGCCGTGTCAGTGAAGTGAAAATCAGCCTCTGTGCTGTGTCCCCGCTTCTTCTGGATGTGCGCCCAGAGGGAGGTGCACCCAGGGGAGGTGCTCCCGGGGGGGTGATCCCAGAGGGAGTGTGCCCAGAGGGGGGTGCGCCCAGAGGGAGATGAGCCCACAGCGGGGTGAGCCCAGAGGGAGGTGAGCCCAGTGGGAGGTGCACCCAGAGGGAGGGGTGCATCTAGATGGGGGGTGACCCCAGGGGGGGGTGCACCCAGAGGGGGGTGTGCCCAGAGAGGGGGGTGCGCCCAGAGGGGGGTGCGCGGGGGCTGGGGGGTACTCCCAGAGGGAGGTGCTCCCAGTGGGAGGTGAGCCCAGAGGGGGGTGCGCCCAGAGTGAGGTGAGCCCAGAAGGGGGTGCGCCCGGGCCTGTGCCGTCACTCTGACGGTGCCCACATAGGCAGCTGGGAAACCCAGCGCTATCTGAGACGACTCAGGCTCCAGGCTGCCCATTTGTGGGCTTGGCTCCATATAGCACTGGCCATGCCCACTGACCTGGGTGAGACCCAGGCCCAGCTCGGCCTTGAGCCTGGAAGAGCAGCACACCGCCAGCCCAGCCCTGGGGAGGTCAGTGTGGCCCTGGCCCTGTGGAGTGGACAGCTGTGTGGGAGCTGGCAGGCAGGCTGCCTGGGGTCAGGCTCGTCCTGCGCAGTGCCCCACAGCAGCACAGAGGGCTGGCCCTGGCGGGAAGAGACACCCAGGTGCCCCCGTGCCTGATACCAGTGGGGGCCTCAGCAGCAGCCCTGACTGTGACTTGCCGCCCACCCCTCCTGGAAACTCCCGGCAACTCTGGGTCTGGCCAGCAAGATGGGGTAGGCACCTAAGCTCCCCTAGTTCCTCACCCACGGTCCCAGGCTAGCTCCACAGGTCCGCCTGCTGTCCCAGGTTAGTTCACTGCCAGGCACTGTCACACCCCAGCCCCACAGAGCCTGAGGCGGGGTGGGGGGCCTCATGGTCATCCTTCCTCAGTGCTCAGAGGGGCCCCTGCCTACCCTGGCCTGGGCCCTGCAAGCCCAAGCTGGGAAACAGGGTTGGGGTTGGAGGAGAGTCCAAAATGGCCAGGGAGGGTGGTCAGGGGCTTCCTAAACTAACAGATGACCTGGCCTGTTCCTCCAACCAGTCTGCTGTCCTGGAATCTGCAGGGTCTTTGTTCTGGTCTTGGGCCTCCCAGGGCCTAGGGACACTCCTCTGACCAAGGCCAGCTGGGCAGTGGTGTGGGCCACAGCCTCGGGCAGCTGCACAGGGTCATACCCCACAGGGCTGAGGCCCAGCTCCCAGGGCCTCCACCAGCCTGCGGGGGCGTGGGAGAGCTTGGGGCAGCGGGCCAGCCTCCATCTCACGCCTGTTATCTGTGGTGCACAGGGTGCAAGGCTGCAAGGCTGGGGGACAGGCCAGGGTCAAGGCTGTAGCCCTCAACCCCGCGGGAGGTACCAGGCGAGAGCCACAGCAGCAGGTGGTTACTGCTGCCAGTGACGCTGGTTAATGGAACTGTTAATGACAGGCCCCACTGGGAGGCAGACCAGGTCAGGGAAGGAGGGCTTTCCCAGGGACTGCGCTGACTCCTACCTTCATGGGACCTCAGCCTCAGCTGGAGCCACAAGTGCAGCCGTGGAGCCCCTGGCCCCAGCCTGGGCTGTGGCAGGAAGGGCACCCCTTCTGCAAGCCACCTGGCTCCTGGGGACCTCGACCTGCACAGGCAGCTAAGGGGGCTAAGACCAGGCACGGGGTCATCCTCACGCCTGCCCTGTAGGGCACCATGGCAGGTCCCATTCTGGCACCAGGTTGCCCCTGAGAGCCTGGCCTCCTCAGCAAGGGACCACCCCCACCCCTGTGCTGGCTAGACATGACCCTGCCCAGCTGCAGGGCCAGGGGCCTGGCAGAGTGTATTTTCCCATGGGGACTGGTCTGCCCGGGTGTGAGGACACATCTGTCCCCAAAAGCTCCCTCCCCTACAAAGCACTTACTGAGAGAGGGAGGACTCCAGGCTGAAATCCTCCACGTGGGGCCTGGGGACACAGCAGACTCATCAGCGCAGAAGGCAGGTGGACAGAGGGCTGGGCTCCAGGTAAGGTCCGGGGGCAGTGGGGCATGCCCATGCCACACACCCTGCCTGCAGAGCCCCAGCACACGGCCAGGTGCCAGGGCAGGCGACCCAGCATGCAGGGTGGGGCAGGGTGGCAGCCAGGCCACCTCTGTACACTCACCTCTGTGCCAGGAAACAGCACAGCCCACCAGGGAGGCCAGAACATGCAACCCCCTGCGCTGGGCCCATTGGGGTGCCAACCACGAGGACAGTGTGGCCTGCCTTCAGCCGACACACACCTGGGAGCCACTGCTGTGCCCTGCCCAGCGCTAAGCATGCCCAGGCCCAGCAGCCCCAGGAACAGCCCTGTCAGAAGCACTTCACCCCAGGAAGCTGAGGGCAGCAGCAGCAGCCGGAGCCCAGGGTGGTGCAGGGGCCTGCGGGGTTTGCTGCAAGGTGCCCGACTCCTCTTCCACTCCCTGCCACCCAGAGACCTGGGGCTTGGCCGGCCAGTGCTGCCCCTTGGCTTCCTTGACTGGGCCGGCTGGGACTGGGGGTTGACAGCTTCTTGGGGGTCAAGGAGTCCCTGCACAGGGCCCAACCTGGGCAGTCTGGCCAGGGTTTTCCCAGACTGGCTGGTGGGAGCTGCCACCAAGTTGTGTGGTCCATATTGGACAGGAGCTCAGGGGCAAAGGCTGGAGGGAGTGGAACTCTACCTTCATGTGGACTGGGCAGTGTGGGGTGCAGGGGGTCTCAGTCTCCCCAGAAAGGACTTCAGGGGAGCCTCTTTTAATCTTCAAAGCAACCACTTTCCAGAAAAGGAAACCAAGGTTCAGAGCAGTCTGCTGCCTTCCCAAGGCCTCACAGAGGAGGAGCGGGGAGCCAGGCTGCCCAGCTGTCAGCACCCCTGCGGTGGCCTGGGCTGTACCCTGTGGTGGGCAGGCTCCCTCCTGGTGCGCCAGCCCTACCACCTTCTGCTCTCTTGTCCTGGCAAGGTGGAGACTGGACCCACCCTGGGAGGGCCAAGGTCCTGGCTGAGGTGGCTGTGGGTTGACAGCTCCACACAGTACAGGGGAGCCCAGACTTAACTGGTCCGAAGGCTCGGAGTGACCAGGAGTGCCAACAGGTTCTGTGCTGTGTTGGCTGGGGTCCCTCTCACTGGCTCCAGCACAGCCCAAAGTCGGCAGCTGGGGCCAGGCTGCACCAGGGTCTGCAGGAGACCAGCTGTGACTGGTCATAGGAGGACCAGGAGTGGGTGCTGTCCAGCTGGGTCCCCTCCTCACCCAGCCCTGCCCAGCTGCCTCCTCCTCCTCCTGGCTATAACCTGGATAGAGGTCTGCTGCCCACTGCCCACAGGGCCCCTGTGCTCTGCCTGAGAGCCCGGTCCTGAGTGTCCAGGGCAGGCCCTACCCACATAATGTCCCCTGGCCTGCCAAGCAAACAGGTCAAGGAGCCCAGGTCCCATAGGAAGGACAAGGGCCTGTGAGCAAAGGGACAGGGGCTGTTTGGGCCCAGGCAGAGCTGGCTGAGGACTGGAGCTGGTGACGTTGAGGTGGGCCATCTAGGCTGACCCCACCAGCGGGGCTGTGTGGGGAGGGAGGGAGGGAGGAAGAGGCCCGGAAGGGAATCTGGATTCCCATCCAGAACACCTAAGCCCAAGATGGCCCAGCAGGACCTGTCCCAGCAACTAGCGACCTTGGCCCCACCCAGGGCCTGTCAGCCACCCAAGCACGGCCTCCCTAGCCCTCCCTCTGCTCACAGTGGGTCAACACACCTGCGCAACAGCCTGAAGGCCCCCTCCACCCAGAGCCCAGGGGGGGGTCCAGGGAAAAGCCCCGATGAGGAGGGGCCAGGCCTAGAAGGGGCAGGCTCAGGGTCCAGGCCAGTGAGGCAGCTTCTCCAGGAGCCCCACTGCGTTGGTGGGAGCAAGTGTCTGGGTGTCCTCTTCCCTCTGCCCTGAGTTCCATGAGGTGCTTCAAGGGAGAGGGGCTCCCTGATCAACTGAGTGCACATGGGAGCACTGAGGTCTCAGGTCTCAGCAGGGTCCGGCAAAGGAAACCAGTTAATCTGGACTGTTTTGTTTCCCCCAAATTTACATGTTGAGCCCTGACCCCCACAAGGCAGCAGGGGACTCTATTTGGAGACAAGGTCTTCACAAAGGTTGAAACGGGTCACATGGTAGGCCCTAATCCAGGAGGACTAGCACCCTGCAGAGAGATCAGGACAGACACACACAGAGGGATGGCCACGTGGCCCTGGCGCCTGTGAGCCGGCAGGGCCTCAGGAACCAGCCTGCCCACATCCTGATCATGTACACAGCCTCTAAAACTATGAGAAAACTCACTTCTGTGGCTTAAGCCCCCCAGTCAGTGGCCGTCCCACCCAGTCATGCACCAGTTAAGGCTGGAAGCCGCATCTATGAGGGACCCCTCCCCCAATGTTTGGTCATGGTCAACGATAAACCAGCCCAGCCTGGGTCAGCAGATCAGCACGCTCTAGGGGAGAGGAAGTAACAGGGTAAGGGTGGGCGGATATAGTGTGGGGGCTCCTGAAGACGAGCTGTCCTGACAGCGGCCACCACAGGGGCCCTGCGGAGGGGGTGAGCACCAGAGAGGGGCTCTGGGCGGAGGCTTGGTGTGTGCAGAGCTGGAGAGCTCAAAGACCATAAGGAAGACCAGCATGGTGGACAGCAGGACACACGGAGCTGAGAGGGACAGGGTGCTGCGTAGGATGGGGCAGAACCAGGCTCCTGGAGGGGTGCTGGCTGCTGTGAGCATCTGGACCTGCAGGGCAGGAGGTGTTGGGCAGGGCAGGGGCTCTGTCCACTGTGGCCAGGCTTCGACAGACTGGGGCACCACAAACCCTGGAGTTCTGGACCACAGAGTACAGGGCCACGTGGGAGCCTGAGGTCCTGCCCTGTGGAGGCGCTAGCCGATGACAGCCAGGGACAGAGGACTGGGGCTGGGGGGGATCAGAGGAGGAGTGGAGGTGTCAGGCTGTGTGACCAGAGCTAGCCCCGGAGGCGGACACAGACGTGTCCCTGGTGAGACTGTGTACGGAAAGTGAGTGCTCAGCTTCCCAAGGGATCAAAGTGGGGCTGGGGAGGGCTCCCGAGGGTGCTGGCTGGTGGGAAGGTGGTGGGCGGGCAGGGTCCAGGGCTGTCCTGGGGAGTCACCAAGCCAGGGGGAGGCCAAGCTGTGTCCTACTGTGGGGCAGACTCAGCCAGGAGCAGTGGCTGGTTGATCCTAAACAGCCCAGCAGGAAGCGGGCTGAGAGGCCGGAGTGTTGCCTGCCAGGGGGAGGCTCCCGGCCCTCGGCCCTCCTGTACACAGGGGTGGCCATCTCCCAGGGTCTGTCCTCTGTAGGAAGAGCTGCTCTCCAGCTAGGCTCAGAGGGCCTGCCCTCATTGAAGGTCCCATGGGGACAGGAAGGGGTAGGCAGTGGCAGGGACCACTGTGCAGCCCCGTGAGCCTGTCCCTAGCCTGGCCCCTGAGCCAGGGCCTTTGCACGGCACCAGCCCCCAGCCCCCACCCTCGCCCACACTAGGCCCCACCACTGGGCTTTGCACAGAACCCTGGTGTGGAAGTCTGAGGGTCTCTGCAGCCTGCCCCTGAGTCTGCCCCTGTGGGCACTGACAACCAGCTCTCAACCTCTCCTTGACCCTCAGCCCACCCGCTCCCCCTCTACCTAGGACCTTTCTCACACCTGTCCCTGGGACACCCCATCTTTTCCAGGGCTCCTCTTCCTGGCCCCTCCTCCAGGGGTCCTCCCCTTGGCAGGGCTCCAGGTCCCTAAGACTCCTTCTGGGAGCTCAAGACCACAAGGGCCCAGCTCCCCGAACGTCTCAGGCCCAGACTCTCAGTCTGCCCTACTCCTAGGACCCCACAGGGCCTTCCAGGACACTGCCCCCTCAGACCCTTTGCCTGCTCTCTGCTGTCACCATGACTAGTCACCTGTGGCCACAGCCTCTGAGCATCCCACCCTTTGCCTGAGGGAGGGGGACATCTCCCACGGCCTCCCCTCCACTGCCCCCTTTCCTGCTGGGTCCATATGGGCACAGCTGAGGTGTGGCCAGCCTGCCTCCCCATGGCTGTCCCCACCTGAGCCCAGCAACCTTGGTGCTTGGACATGTCCCTCCTGAACCCTGCTGCCTTGGTCCTGAGGACTCAGAGGGGCTGAGGGAGTGGGGGGGGGACAGGTGGGATTCCATAGGGGCCTCAGGACAGGAGTGGGGCTGGGAGACCCCATCTGGGTCCAGGGAGTGAGGTGGGGGATAGAAGGAGCCCTCCTTCATTGGGGCCCTGGGAAAGTGCTAGAAGGAGGGAGGGGCCTCTCACCCCCAAATACCTGGGCAGCTCCTTCTAACCCCCCACCCCTCCCAGATGGGGAAGAGGAGGCAGCAGACCCAGTTCCAGGGACAGCCTGGCTGGGGGACAACACTGCATCTACGAGAGGGCAGTGCATCAGGGGCACATTGGACGTGGGGGCAGACACCTCTGCCCACTGTGGCCAAGTCCCCTGGGGACAGTGGAGACCTCCTTCTGCCTCACTGCCTTCCAGGCAATGGGGAGGACCGAGGCTCCATGGCCCTGGAGATGGCCCAGGCATGCAGGATGGGGCAGCTGCAAGAGCTACAGCCGACAGCTTACTCTGGCAGTCACCCTCCTCCCTGTTCTGGGCTCGCCTGAAATCTACACCAAACTTCCTAAAGCACAAATCTGCCAAGTCCTCCTCTGCTCAGGAGCCTGCCTTGGCTCCCTACTGCCCATCTCCAGAGCAGGCAAGCAGCCTGTGACCAGCACTCAGGGAAGGAGGCTGCAGAGCTGCCAGTGGGGTGCTGGCCTGTCCCAGAGGTGTGACCACTCCCTTCTCCTGCCCTGCAGAAACAGCCTGACAAGACCTGTACTTGAGGTCTTCTGGGGGATAGAGAGGCCAGTGTAAAAGGGCCAGCATTTATGGTCCACTGGTTCATGGGAGACCAAGTACAGGAGTGGGAAAGAGGAAGGTCTTCCTGGGGGAGGTGGCCTGTGGCCCCAGCTCCCATGCTGTGCGGTGGGCTCAGAGGCAGCCTGTGCAGAACCTGCCATCCCTGCAGTCTACCCCTGGCCGGGGCCAGGCTGGCTGTGAGTAGAACTCCTGAGATCACTGGCCCCCACAGCATCCAGGAAGAGGAGGCAGAGGAACCAGCCCCTGGGGCCTTGGCGGGCACTCACACCCTTCCGCCCAAGAGCTGCCCATTAGCAGCCCAAGAGCCTCGGCTGCACACTTAACCTCAACAGTTTCTTCTGGCAAATGGGAATACTGAGGGGCTGCCGAGAAGCAGGCAATGGGTATGTGGGCGGGCAGGCCAGAAGCCTGTGGCCAGGGCCCCTTGGCCTAGCCATCTGTCAGGCCCAGCCTCTGCCAAGCCCCCGTCAGCCATGATATGCACCCCCCAGGCTCTGGCCCTCACTTTCCCTCTGCCTGGAAGACCCCGCCAACTCCTCCTGCTCCTCCCAGAAGGACCAGCACCCCAGGAAGCCCACTCTGCAGCCACGGCCTGGCCTGCACCCCTCTGCCCAGCGCAGGCTCTGTGCCCACGATGTGTGCCCACAGCAGGCCAGGTCTGATTCATCTTCATCCCCCGCAGCACCAGGCATGGCTCTTGGCACAGGCAAGGTGCTGGCCAAGAATCATTGCTGCAGATGACACCTCAGTGTCCTCATCCATGAAATGGGGTGCCATGTCCCACCCTAGCTTGCAGAAGGGATGGGGAGGAACTGGCAATGCCCCAGGGAGGGCCTCCACCACCCTGGCTGCCCCAGGAACCAGGCCAGCAGCTGGCCCTGGGGATGCTCCCAGGGGGCTGCGGGCAGGGGCCTGAGCCCCAGCCGCATCTCAGCCTTCAGAGAACTACAGACCTGCCTGGACTGTCCCTGCTCACCTCCAAACTGGGGACCAACCTCAGGTGGGACAGGGCAGGGACCGCCTGTCACCTGGCACAGAGCCTAAGTCCACATCCACCCCTGCCTTACCCATAGGCCCACTGTACTCAGCCTCTAAGCGGGGTGTCTGGGGTCGGGAGGGGGGGGCACCTGGGTAGAGCTTCCAAGGGCAGCCCGCGGCGGTCCCCTCCCAGGGCTGCGGACAGCGCGGCAGGTGCAGCGGGCTGGCCCCTGCGATGCGAGCGAGATGCAAAGCCCCTCCCGGCGGCGCGCAGCGGGGACCCAGGCCCGCGCCCGCCCCTACCTCTGGCCCACGTCGCTGCCCACGGAGCCCCCGCCGCGGGCCGGCAGCAGCGGGCTGAGCCCGTGCGGCTCCTCAGGGGCCGCGGCGCCGGCCGGGGCGCCCCCCGGGCCCGCCTTGCCCTCGGACGGCGAGCGCGGCAGCTTGGCCCGCGCCATCCTGCGGGAGCGCTCGGCGCGGGAGGCGGCGGCGGGGGCGGCGCCGGGCGCAACCATCACGCGCCGCACCCGCCCCGCGCGCGCCACAGTGGAACGGTCCGGCGGGGGGGGGGGGCAGGACGGGGAGGGCTCCCAGGCTCCGTCCCCACCAGCACGCCCCCAAGGAAGACCCAGTCCCGGGGCTCAGCCTTCCCCAGAAGTGGTGGTGGTGACTGTCCGTGCTGGGAAGGAGGAACCGTGCAGCTGAGACCTGGGCCCTTGGCCAGGTACCTGGGGAACAGGAGTACCGGAGAGGGGAGCTAGGCATCCTGGTGGGTCCTGTGCCCACATCTCGACCCTCCAGGGGTCCTGAAAGCTCAGTCTAATGCCCAGATCGGCCAGCCCAGAGCTGTACCCATCCTTCAGTTCCTGGCTCCAGCTCCCTCACCAGGTGGGAAACTGCTGGTGTCTCCCGTGGGCACTCAGGGTCCTCCTTTCCCTTCTTTCCACCTCCAGAGCTGTCAGGGCACATCTCAGGGGCACTCGGCTGTTGGCCCCCACGCCACAGTGGGTGCTGGGCACGGGATCCATGGGGCATGAGGCCGCTACCCACGTGGAGCTCTTGACGTCCTTCTGGGGCGTGTGAGGCCCACCTCACCAAACACAAGGACGACCTGCCAGGGACACAGATTCTTATCCATTTTTTGATGTGGAAAGACTGAAGGAGGAAGTGACTTCCCCAGGAGCAGGAAGGAGCGGAGCAAAGATCTGGACCCAGGACCAGCTGATCAGAGCGGCTCTGTGTGGCCATGCTGTGTGGCTTTCCTAGCTCCTCCGTCTCACAGACAGGGCTCCAGATGACTTGCCCAGGCAGGTAACTCTGCAGGTATTGGTGCTGGGAGGTCCGGCTTGCCCCAAGTCCAGCTTGGCGTGGGAGCTCTCAGAGTCACACCTGCCAGACCCAGGTGGAGGGGCTCTCCTGGGCTCCTGGGCCCTCCTGAGCAGCCCACACCCCAGGCCAGGAGCTCCTGCTTGCTGGGCCCGACTGTGAGTGCCAGCAATCAGGGAGCATACAGGAGATTTATGGTAGAGAAGTGGGCTTCAGTTCTTCAGGTAGTACCAACACGAGTGGGGGTGGCCTGGCCCACCCACACTCACCAGGAGCCCTCATGAAATGGCCTGCACCACCCCCTCACCCTGAATCCCCTTGGCTGACCATCTGTCCCCGATTTCATGGGTCTCCATGCACATACTCTGCAAAAACACAAGAACCCCAGGGCTCACATCACAGGGAAGGAGCACCCAGAGAGGAAGGGTGGGTGAAGTGCCAGCCTCGGCCTGGCAGGGAGCAGCCTGTTTCTTAACAATGCCATCGAGGTCAGGTGGGCTGGGCCACCGTAGGGAAGCTGAGGCACAGGGCTACTCCCGCAGGGGACCCGCATCCTGGCTCTTCAACACCTGCCCCAGGCCCAGATCACATGGAAACCAAGCAAAAGGCTCAAACCTGGGCTCCCGTCGGCCTGAGGGGAACAAGCAGGAGGAGCTCCCCACCGCCCTGGGAGGCACTCACAGACGGAGGTGCCCCTTTCTGAGGAGCAGAGCAGCTATGAGGAGGGAGGCCGGAGGTCTCCGCAGGGCATGCTGTTGAATGAGACCGCTGATGTGCATAAACAGATCAAGCAGGCCACAGCGCCTGCACAACCCGGGGCCATGCACACAGCACTGCAGAGAGAGAAAGTGCCTGCGGACGTCAGAGGTGCTCACACGAGGCACCCCAGGAGCAAGGGGAGGGCGCAAGAGAGGGCGTCAGGGCTTTGGGGTGTTGTGTTCCCCCTGCATCCCTGAGCAATGGCAGTGAGCCACATCTGGAAGGCTCACGCAAGCCACATCCGCAGAGCGTGGCAGTAGAGATGCGTGGCAGCCTGTCCCCAAGGGCCAGCCTGTTCTGCCCACACAGAGAGCTCTCTTTTCCACTCTTGTTTTCTGAGTGCAGGGGTCTGCCTGTGCTGTTGGCATCCGAATCCCAGGGCTAGAGAGAGGTGACAGTTGGGAGGAGGACACCGACATTTTGTGGTGTCAACCAGCGACAGGCGTGGAGGAGCCTGTGTCCCAGGTGGCAGGGGGACCTCTCAACTTGTTCCTGCACCATGTGGGTGGGTAAAGTAGGTCTATCTTGGAAATGACAGTCCCCTCTCGGCAGGGTCCAGTGGCTGTTTCCTGTGTGGAGAGGGTAGACAGTCCCTTACACATCCAGTGCTGATTCCTGGCTCCTTGGCCTCTGGGTACAGTGGAGTGACCCACAGGCAAGAAGCAAAGCCTGGAGCAAGTGAGGTGGGAGGGCGGGCACTGGGCTCCCAGGCTCTGGGTCCTTGGAGCGTGGACGATCTTGCGCCCTCAGAATGTCTGCAGAGCATGGGAGTGGAGATGGGGCAGATGTCCTGGAAGCCCCAGAACAGATGACAATCGCCCCTTTATGAGTGTAAAAGACAGACAGGTGCTGTGAGCTCCCTGCAGGGAGGGCTGAGGGGCACTGGAGCTGGCGGAGGACACCGCCTCTGGAAGTGGCACTGCCATTCTTCCCACAAGACTGGGTGGGGAGGGTCGAGCTCAGGTAGGGGGAGGAAGGAGGGGCACCTGGGATGGGGAGGACAGGAGCAGCACAGAGGTGGATCAGGATGTCCATGCTGGACCCTCACAGGGTGCCTGCCAGAGGCCTATCCTGGGGCTGCCAGGCTGCAGAGAAACTGTCTGGTTACCTGCTCAGTATGGGAGCTGAAGCTCTGGGGCAGATGGGCTGCCTTGTGGAGCAGGGCAGCCAGAAGGTGGTCCAGAGGAGGTGAGGAGGCCGGGTCCCTGTGTGGCACGTCTTCAGGTGGGAGGCAGGTGTGTGGGCGGGTGTGGTATCTACAGTGGGGCAGGGGTGACCGCCGCCTCAGGAGCCTCCCAAACCCAAGCTGATAAACAGACAGTGAAAGGCAGTGATCAATACTCAGAAGCCATAAGGGCAAGGACAAGCCAGTGTCACAGATGTCCTCAGATACTGTTGGGAGCCATGTTGGGAAGTGTGGGCAGTGACCCCCCTTCTCTGATCCTGTCCTCAAGGTCAACCTGAGACAGCCACAGCATCCTGAGAATTCTCCCCACAGCCCTGGGGAGAGGCCGCCAGAGGCTGTTCTGGCCTTCCCTGTCATCTGGCTGGGGAGCTGTCTAGGCCAACCCCCAAAACAAGGTGACACCCTCAGGCTTCCCTCTGGGGAAAGAGTATGGAGCCCTAGGACATCTCCAGCTGCGTGGCGTGGTCAATGGGCAAGGACATTTCACAAGATCCTAGGAAACGGGGCAGATGGACACTCAGACACACAGCCCTTGCCCATGCTCTGGAGCGGTGGGAAGGTGGTGGGGTCACCCGCAGGCTGGGGCACAGGAAAGGGAACAGGAAGAGGACACAGGGGCTGGGAGGCGGAAGAACCCACTTGACCATGGGGGATGACCATGGGGCAATGTGTGGCCCAGCCACATGGGGATCCCTTGGCCTTAAGCAGGAAGGAGGGTCCGACAGCTGCGCAATGTGGGTGAGCCTTGAGGACATGGCGCTGAGAAAGGGGCCTGGCACAGGACAGTGCTGCGGGGTTCCACCTGTGTGACAACTCCGAGTCACCAGGCCAGAGACAGGAAGTGGAATGGAGGGTGCAGGGGCTGCGGAGTCAGTGTCTATGGGACAGAGTTTTCACTTGGAAAGTGGGAGAGTCCTGTGGATGGATGGTGGAGGCAGCCGCGGCACCATGCGGACAGGCTTAACACACGGAATGTCCTCTCGGAATTGGTTTGCATGGTATATTTTATGCCATGTGTATTTACCACACTTAAAACAGATACGTTTAGAAAAATAGAGAAGGAAGAAGGAACAGGAAGAGTGGGTGAAGGAAGGAAGGAGAGAAAAAGGAGAGGAGAGGACTAAGTGGACTTCAAGGACAGAGAACCTGGTCATCGGTAAAGCCTACGTCCAGGGCAGAGGGAAAGTATCCTCCAGGCTTCCGGCCCAGGTCGGCTTATGAGGGCAAGTTTCAGTAAAAAGGAGAGACAGAGGAGTCTGTTATCTCCGCAGACTGAGGAAGGAAAGGAGACTGCAGGACCCAGAAGCCTTTGGAGAGCCAGGCGCCCTCCAATTACTACTAAGTGAGTCAAGACTAGCAAGAACCTTAATCAAATTAAGGACCTCAGTAGATGACTCTGCACAGCAGAGGCAGACATAGAACCCGGGACTTGAGAGAGGGTGGAGGACTCTATCTCAAGGGTCCTTGTGCCCCAGGGCAGAGACTCCAACAGGCTTTAAGTATTTAAAATCAATTTAGAAAACATTTAGAAACATAATGATGTAGCAGACAAAGAACTGTGTACTGAGTTCCAGGAAAACACCACCCAGATATTGACCCTCCTACATCTACTGAGATTGAAGGGCAAAGAAAGAGCTCTTAAGGGTATAAGACGGGAAAAGGGGTCACCCGGGAGGAGCAGAGCCATCTGGCTTTGGGTTTCCTGGGGGGCACTAAACTCGAGGGTCTGGGCAGACCAAACGCTGAGGAGGAAGACAGTGAGATGAGGAGTATTGTACCCAGCCAAGATATCATCCAGGTCCACAGACACAGGACTGTTATACCCAGCCAAGCTGTCACCCACGTCCACAGACAGGGGAGATGCCGCAAGTGTGGAGCAACACACGACATGTGGCACCAGCACAGATGCCCTTTTTGAAGGAAAAACAACCTTGAAGGTGAAATGCAGTCACCTCAAAGAAATACCCAAGTAAGGAACTCCACAGTGAAAAATAACAGTGAATGTGTGTGTGGTCAGCAGGAACCTATGTAAGTGGATTTACAGCAAATGTTAGATGATTATGCAAAGTCTGGTTACAGAACAGATTGTAACAATTTAAAACCTTGGTGGAGTAAAAAGAACAATATAATTAGCAAACATTGGGGGTGTGTAGGGTGTTGTCGTCCAAAATGAGGATGCTCTAAGCT